ATTCCCAGTCCCCCCCACCCCCCCCCCCCCCCGAATGTGCAGGTTTTATTTAATTTGCTATGTACTGTGGCGCCTCCAGTAATAAACAACTCAACCAGCCCCAACCAGTTTGTCCCCAACCCTTGGAAAAAACAACAACAAAGAAATGACGTTTCTGCTTTATAATGTTTAACAAAAATGTAATCTGTAGTTTTAAATTTTGACTCGTTAGATGAACAATACATAGGACTGAAAATCAGTATATAAAGGAAGTCGATACCAAGCTGGTGATGTTAACAATAATCACGTTAGTTATACTATTAAGTAGATATAAATATAAAAAAATAAAACATAAAAAGTATTAAAAACCATATTAACTTACAGCACGTGAAAAAGTATAATACAAGAAAACTACTAATATCAACACACACACACACACACACACACACACACACAAATATAAGGTCTCTTATCTTGTGTCTCATGTAAGTCTCGTAAAAGTCTGTCGGTCACAGTCGACCGTCGTTTTTTTTAAGTGAGGGAGTCAGAACCCTCCAGAACAGGAAGTCTAGAAATTTAATCGCCAGAGAGCATTTCCCCCTTCTCATAGTGACTTCTGGAAACGTAAACAAACTTTCCCAAATCAAGTTGGGGGGGGGGAGAGAAAGAGTGCCAGAGTTAATTGGTAACGTCAGTAACAAAAGTGGTGGTTACAGCCACATCATAATCTATCTACCTACCTACCCATCCATCCATCCATCCATCCATCCATCCATCCATCCAGCCATCCATCCATCCATCCATCCATCCATCCATCCATCCATCCATCTATCCATCCATCCACCCGCCCATCCATCCATCCATCCATCTATCCATCCATCCACCCGCCCTTCCATTCATCCATCCATACATCCATCCATCCATGGCCTCAATGTTGTCATTGCGGATTTGGGCCGAAAGATAGGCTATATAAATTCTTTGTTCCCCAATCTTGTCAGACTTTACCAAGGTGCTCCCCGGCTGTTCTAAAATCACAGCTCTGAAATCACACTAAAACTCAACGTCACCAAGGGAATGTGGTCGGACCCATAGATATAGGTACAAATTCATCCCCCCCCCCCCCCCCCCCCATTTTCAGAATTTAGTTAAGTTAATAATTGTATTGCTTGTATTAAAATAAATATTTACACGGAATTGAGTTTTTTTTGGGCTTTGTCGGAGAATATGTTTTAAATATATATTATATATATATATATATTTTATTTTCAGATTTATCTATTAAATCTAACTTTATTAATTTACATTTTAACTTTTTTTGGTGACTTTTTTTTTCCTTGATACGTTTTTCCGTTCACCGGTCTGAACTCTTATTCCCATACTCAAAGGTTCAAATAAAGAAAGAAAGAAAATGCAGTGATATTATTTTGAAAGGTAAAGTTAAGAAAACACCACATATTACGAATAATAATAGTGAAAAATTATCATCAAATTCAAATGCAACCATTTTAATTTGCATTGTTCAAAATTTTCTTAAAATAGCTTATCCGTACTAGTCGCTTTCGGCGGATCGGTCCAGGCCCGTTCTTAGGCATACGCTGACTACGCATCCGCGTAGTGCCCCAAACGTGAGGGGGCCCCCGTGAGGCGCCCTCGATATATGTCCATATATTTCAGAAGTACACATTTTCTCTAGTGGCGGAATTATCAATATAGTTAGTGGTTACCAGCGAGCAAAAAGGAAACATTGATGAAGGCAGAATGGAGGTGCCGCGGTGGTGTTTTCTCCTCAGTTCGAGGGAGCTCCACCCCCAGACCCCCCTTTCGGGGCCCCAACCTACGCTCCATGCTTAGGGCCCCCAAACTCCTAAGAACGGCTCTGCTCGGTCACTATCCCCCAACGTCCTTTCGTTAAATTCTGGCTGCACCACAGTCCCAACCACAGCCTTAATTATTAAGCAACTTTAATTTTATGCTCAGTTCACACGACCAAATTTTCTTCGTCAAATTTCTATTTGAATGCACTATTTTGTGACACAAAATAGTGCGTTCATAAGAAAAATTAAAAAAGACGAAAATTTGATCGTGTGAACTGAAAATGAAGCAAAAATAACACACTCCAACGAACCCACGAAGCCTCCAAATAATTGTGTACTGAATGTATAAGCCTACAGTACATTCATATAGTTTTGAGGTTTAAAAAAAAAAAAAAAGAAACAAACAACATTTATGCTTTGGCGTGTTTTAAAAGTGTGATTTCAACAGGCCTATTTTGCTTGCATATGGCATGACTTTTATTTTTAATTTTAAAAAATGTGTACGTGGTTTATGACAAAAAGAAAGATTTCTTTTCATGTAAGACTATTTATTATTTTTTTTTTATTAAAAAAAAAGTGTAGTATAAATTAAAAAAAAAAAAAAAAATATTGGAGTCTGATTTTAAAGGGGAATATAACTGGATATTTTACATTAAAATAATATTTTTAAAAACTTTTTAGCCAGAAAAATGCTTTAGATAAGCACAAATTCTTGTCTTAACAAGTTAATGCATTAGGTAAGCAAGAGCGTGTTCAACTTCAACAAACTTTTGGAAGACCCCTTGTCACTGAAGCGACGCCTCCGAAACTATATTTAGAATATCATCCGGGCCCTAGATAATTTCTTACTTTTTGATTGGTTTATTTTGCGTTGAGGTCAGTAAAATTTCTAGCTCTACCTTTATCTGTCAGCATTTTTGATTGGCCACCTCTTCAACTATACTCGTCGACAAGAAATATGAGCTTGATAATTTAATATTAATTTTTCAAAGAAAATTTTAGTACATAAATAAAAATAGAGCAATTAATAAATTATTTTAATTTAAAGTTTATTTTTTAAAACATTTTTTGCCCTTGACAGTGTAAGAAGTGGCTAAACAAAAATGATACTAAATATAGACTATCCAATCGTAGAACGTCTACTTTGAAGACGCGTTGAATTCATAAACGAAAGATGTTGAGTGGCCCTAGTCTACAAAATCATCAATTCACAATTTTCGTACTTTACTATTCAAATTACCAGGTAACTTTAAGTATTTAATGATGTTTTGACATATTAGTTCCTTTATTTTTAACATGTGATATATCCAGTTTTAATCATGCACTTGCTGACCGCGATGAGTCAAATTTCACTCCTGATTGGTTTCTTTCCACATCTAAGAAAAAAAAATTCTTCCAAAACTTGAGTAGAAATGGCGTTCAAAGGCAACATTGCCTTTGTTCTTATTCCGAAATCGGAGGCAACTATTTCATTAAACCTAACAATTAGTCTTGTTAATAATTTCTTAAGCTTATTTCCAACTTTGTGTGTATACAGAGGGGATTCTCTTTCTGCACGTGTCTCTATCTCTTAATCTAAAAAAAAACTTGTAAATATGAACTTGGGCCTTGGGCACGAACGGTATTGTGATTTCTGAGTGAGAGTGACACCGAGACTGAGGGTAGACCTGAAATCACAATACGAAATTTTTTCGAGCTAATGCGGACATAAAGATAATTCACTTCTAAATTATAAGATTTAAAAATTTTCACAGATTTAAATAAAAGCCAGTTACGTTAGTTAGGCCTTCTTCAGTTAATCAATGGTCCACCACTCTGTGATGAAAAATCATTGAAAATGAAATTCATTTATTGGACTATTTAGATTAGGCTAACACAGCCTACATTTTATAGGTCTAACTCTACCATTAGTAATTAGCATTATTATTCTCCTTAAACATTAGTGCCTACAATTAGCATTCCTTATCGTCAACATTATGACCATGGCACGGCGAACCATTGGCATTGGCGGGTACAACCTTAAAACCTGTCATCAGAATCAGTGTCATTCAAAACTCATCTCATGTTGAATGTTCCTTTCTCAGACTTATTATGATCAGTGTACTCACTGTTGTTAAGTGTACTACAAATTTATTTTTTAGGCTAATAATACTTATTTAATTTTTGAAATAAGGCTACGGCTTACACTTACTGATACCGACTTAGCTTTTAGTAGGAACTATCCTATAGTAGACTATACATAGTTATAATTGAATTGAAGCCACATAACAGTTTGGATGCTGTGTCCACTGTGTCTGCTGTTCAATTTCAAATAATGTTAGGCCTAGAGCAAAAAAATGTCTTTAAAAAATAATTAGATTTTTAATATTATTATTATACGCTCTTACTTGCATTTTTAAATTTTAAAGTATAGATAGGCTAGTTAATGATAGAGACAGAGATTTATCTCTCACAATCTGCAACATTTACAGTATTACAATGCAACAAAGTCAGTATAGTACAGAAATGTACAAAATTAATTTCACATATATAAATGCTTGAATATAGCACAAGTTGACAATCTCTTGCAAACTTTATTAAATGCAGTCAGTTATTAAAGTAATGTAATGTTCTGAATTTTATTGCCCTAACAATGATGACAATCCCAAGGCCCTGTTAAATCCAATCATACTGTATTAACTTCCTAAGCGAATCATCAGTCTATTTTTTTACATCGCATCATTACTTTCAATCATTGATTTAAAGATGCCAATATTTAAAATAAATAAAGATGTTGATAGAATGAATATGCACAATTTTTGCGTCCATTACATTATATTATATAGCATGTTTTCTACATTTTAATTTTCGTTAATCATTGGCTGCTAAGTCAAGTACCGCCTCGGGTCGTTACAAACTCCAGCCACTTCTGTGCATACACACTACACAAAGTAAATTATAATTAGTCTGTTTTAGAAAAAGTTCCGATTCGCTTATTATGCTTACTAGTGAAAACTGTTGTTACTATTAAGATGCTGTAATCAGCGTAATGCTGGTGGAAATAATATAATTTTGGTTTATTAAATAAATGATTTCAAAATGTTTTTATTATTTTTCTTTGACAATAAGTAATTTGCAATGATTAACACTGTCACAAAGTGTTGTCTTTAATTTTAACTGTAACCCAGATGTCAGGTTTGATTAAATTAGGACTTGAATTGCAAAGATTTTCAGTGGAGGATTGCTTTTTTGTGCATGCAGATTTCATTGCTGTACTGGTGCACTATCTTATGCTATTCAGAATTAAATCATACATTGATTTAAATTTAGTGATTGTGCTACTTAATTTTTCATGTGTGCGGCAAGTTTAAAAAAAAATATTTGTAATGGCTAATTTTAGACTATTTGAATAAGAGCATACTTGCATATATGTATAGGCTTTCCCTCTAATTAATATTCTAGGTATATTTAACTGCAGTTAATTTTCTTTTTACTTTGCTATTTCCATTTCAGGTACATAGTAGGTACCTCAAACCATTTAATACATTCTGATGATGCGGAGGTAGTATTTGCAGGCCTACTGTTTTTTGGTGAGTTGCTCATTTTAAAATGTTGAGTAATCTAATTTAAATAATTTTAAGAATATTAAAATGTTGTATAAAATCAGTTTTATCTCAAATCTTAATATTTTGGTTTGTTTTATTATTTTGTAGATGAACACAAGGCCTGGAAATGGCAGAAGAGCCCATGCTTGGGCTTTTTGATGGTGAGACAAACTTTCTTGATGAGTTGGCTGGGACAGGGTCTGGAGATCTTGGACCCTCATCAGGCCTGGATGATGGCAGCATGATGGGAGGGTCTAATACAGGGATGCCACCAGGCATACAACACATGCAGCAAGGACAGCCACAACAAGGTCAGTATGTGTGGGTTTACTAAAGAAAAGACACAGCTTGTATCAGAGTTCGCAAGGTTCGTAAAAAATATCCATGGCCCAGGAAAGTTTGGAAAAATTGGGGAAAAATGCTAGTCTGAAAGTTTAGGGGAAAATTATTTTTTAAAAATAGAAGGAAAAAAATATGAACGCCAAAAAAACAAAAAAAAAAAACAACACATTCCATTTAGCTGACATGTCTGGATTGCTTAATGATTTGTAACCCAACAAGAAAGAAATTGCTTGATTGATTTCTTTAAGCCAATCAAATTAATCTTAAGAAGTTTGCGGTCGCATATTAATTTGAACTGTTTTGACTACTCCTACACGTTGTTTGGTAAAAGTTGTTTGCCTTCGCTATCATTTTCAGTTTGGATTAGCCGCACATGTGCGTTTTCTATTGATACCATTCAAAATCTGTTGAACATTTTACAATATTAAATATGCCTGGAGTTTGTTATTTTAATGATATATGACTATTTAAGTCGAAATACAAGTTTTGTCTAAAAAATGTAGCGGATAACAAAAGAAAGCCCGGAAAGCCTAGGCTTTTTCCATTGCAGTGTTTGTAAAAATACACTGATATCTCATCAGTGGGGGAAAGAGCACTGCACAGCCATGCAAAGGTAAGTTACAGTAACTTAAACCTATTTATCTATTCACTTAGCAAAGTACAAATTAGGATGATATAAAATTTAAATTCTACAAACTCTTTCTGGTATTTTTTAAGTAAGCTACTAATTTGGCTACTACAATTTATTTTATCCAGACTTACGACTTAAGGCTCCCTGTTAATTTGAATGAGATTAATTGTGATTAACAATATGATATCATGATAAGCCTAACTATATTATAATAATTTGTTTGATATATTTTAGGAGAAAAGCACATTCAGAATGAGAAAGCTGCTATTCCTTTGACTCCCATTACTGGATATTTAAATACAGCTAATAATGCTGATCCAGTACCATCATCACCAAGGGTCTCTCATGGACAGGGATCAATATAAAAACTGTTCATATTCAGTCTTACTGCACAAAGATGGAAGTGTTTACCTTTGTAACCATTTGGACAGTGAAATGTTTAAATAACCATTACAACTTCTATTCTTCCTAAGACACTGCAGATTGTTTCAAGACCATGTTTCTTATTTGAAAAATTGCTGATAAGAAGTCTGCATATCTCAGCATTTTTGAAATAGCACCCTACTTTTCTGATATGCTTAAAACAGAAAAAAAAGAGCAGCTTCCACTTATATTTTTATGTTCTTTGAAACAATGAAAAAGCAGATGCAAGAAAAGCAAGTGGATATTTATGTTTGAAACAATGAACAAACAGTTGCAAGAAAGCAAATGGATATTTATGTTTGATGAAACAATCAAAACGGATGCAAGAAAGCAATTGGATATTTATATTTGGTGAAACAATCAACAAACAGTTTCAAGAAAAGCAAATGGGATATTATTAATAAAATTAATTATTTTTCCACTCATCTCATTTTCTTGGACATAATGGTTTTTAGAAAAATTCAGTCTTATCATCACAAGTTCTTGGACACAGGGGCTTTTTACAACTGTCTATGGATGGCCATGTCCTATTATCACAGACCTTGGACACTGGCTTGTTACGGCTGTCTATGGATGGCCCTGCAGGGAACTAGAAACTATTTGACATCTTAGAAAAAGAAACTAAACCATCTGCCCCATTTAAGCTATTAAAATTGGGTGTTGTGTTGGCTTCATATTTTACACAATCTTTTCTGTAATGGATGTACTGCAACCTTTGGACGCATACGAACATCGCAAATACTGCTGCATTTCTTCAAGTGTTGCAAGCACAGGTAATATTTAAAAATTAGTTCATAAAGCTGTCGCAATAAATTTCATTTTGATTTAGTAATATAGCAAACAGATTTTTTCAACACTGATTCCTATTAGATTTAATCCTTAATTTTGATATTCTTATAAAGTTTTTATTATTTGCAGGTGGCTTGAAAATATTGAGCTAGCTGACAGAGCTATCCTGATACCAAATCTGGAATTCTACGTAAAGGCTGTTTATTGCAAAATGCTTCATGGTGTCTGAAAAAGACAAGCTGAACGTAAAAGTTAATCGACCAGAGTCATGTGACGTTTGAAACAAAACAAAGAGTTTAAGTGTGACAACAAATTGAAGAGTTTAAGTGTGACACCATCAGCGTTCAGTATGAAAAATATGTTAGTCCATCATCACACCCAATTCATTGGAACACGTCAATATCTCCCCTTCTGAAAGATGGGTTAATAATTGAGTTTCTACTTAGCTTTCTGCAATAAAAAGGAGTTTTCTCAGATGTGTTTGATTGTTCAGCATCTCCACAAGCCACAGCAGAAAGAGGGCTCTCTATGAGTCAAGAGTTCGCTGTCGAAAATTTTAACACTATGAGTCTTTGTGCTCAACGACTTATAAATGATCAAGTCAGAAAGCCAGCAAAAGAGTTGAATTTTGCATGGATTTTTCTATCTGGAAAAAAAGAAAAATGTATCTGATTTATTTTAAAAAAAAAAAAAGTTTGAGATAGCTAAAATACAGGAGTTCAATAAAAGATTTCACAAAGCCACTAGATACAACTGGGCCCTTTTTAAATATTTTTTCTGGGACATTTGCTTATTAGTCTGTCCCTGATGATGCATCATGATTACTATGCTTCAACTATTAAATCAAGCAACACATTACTTTGTTTAAGTACACCACAGAGCTGAGTCAAATGTTTGTAACATTTAGCATACTTGTTTTATATTTCCCTAAAGCTAAAATACTTTGCAAGGGCGAGTTGGTTATTATGTATATATTGTATATACTTAAGTGTGGCAAAGAATTTTGTATCTATGCCATAATTAGCTAAATTTGTTTTGTTTTCTTCTTTAGAATATAATAATAGATAGGTCTTTGAATTTTACAAAAAGGTCTTTGAAGGTTTGGCAAAAGTTTGTGAATTCTGGAATTGTGAAGTCTGTTTGAACCCTGATATATAAAGCTACATTGTGCAATCTACGTTTAAGCAATGAACCGGAATTGTGAAGTCTGTTTGAACCCTGTTATATAATGCACATTGTGCAATCAACGTAAGCAATGAACCTTGTTATATGATGTACATTGTGCAGTCTTTGTAAGCAATGAACCCTGTTACATGATGTACTTTGTGCAGTCTTTGTAAGCAATGAACCTTATTATATGATGTACATTATTTCTATACACTAATAAAAATACATGCTGCACATCATAGTACATTGAATCACATCTCTTCTTTTAGTTGGTGTAATAAAAATTGCCATATACTTTGTAAGTTATTGTGCTATTCAACAAAGAGCTCTAAATAATCTGTAATATAAACTTGACAGCAGCACAAAATTCCTGCTGGTTAAAGTGCAATATATATAAAATATTTTCCGTAGTGTTGGCTTGCAATCATGGCAGCTATCTTCTGGTGAAAAACAAATAAGTAAACATTTTTTATTCATATTTTGCAAACTTGATTACACCTGGTTCAATTATTAAAATATTCTGAGTCATAGTTCAGTGGAACCATGCTATAATGCGAATTTAGTTGAAGCTAGGTCAATCCAATTTTGGTATATTGATTGTTACATGAATTATTTTCTTTAATGTATCCGATTGTAAAAATAGATCTTATGATACAAGACAATGACCCATCCACTAAAACTGGTCCAACTTCAACACCACAAAGTTCACTAACCATAAAACATTCAAATAAAACTGTTTCCACACTACAAAATCACTTATTTCTCCACTTTAAAAAAATTCCAACACTATTCAAAGAGCAATTGTAAAATCCTTTTATAACTCAAGCTTTTATATTAACACCATCTGTTTTTAGGGTCCCCAATAATTCCTCAATAGGTCATCAGCACAGGTTTTGTCTGCGTGTAGTTTGGCAGAATCAGACTCAATGTTTGATCTAGACTGTTCATAGTGCTTATCATGTAGTTTGGCAGAATTAGAATCAATGTTTGATATAGACTGTTAATAGTGCTTATTAATTAACTTCAATTTTCAATTCACTGGGATAAAAAGCAATATCTAGACTAGCTTGACTAGGTGCAAGTGAATCCAATAACTCACTGAGAAATAATTGTCAGTATAAACCTGTACACATCGTTGTTATTATAGATGGCACTTGGTGATCATAAATAAAAGTGTTTTGTTATTTTCCTTAACGTCTGCACTAGGCAACACTTGAAATAACCACTTTCAGATCTTTGTGGTTCAACAATAATTAAAATTTTATAACCCAAGAATGCAAATGACCACAGTGTGTCCATCTTGTGGTTCATACAAAACCAGTTGTGACTTTTCTTCGCTCAATTTATTTTTGTTCATTTAACTATCCTGTGACATTGATCTAATTTTTCCTTTGTGACCCAAGCCTGAAATATTTGATTTTTATATTCATTGTCTCAACATTGCATCAAAACTTGGTTTAGGAAATTACAAATGTGCATTTCAATCTTCAGGTCTGATGATGGGAGGTCAAGTGTCAGGTGCTTATCAGCCAGGCTTAAGTCAGGAAGTGTCTGGGTATGGCATGCAGTGTTCCCAGTCCAATATGATGGGTCACCAGCAGTACGGTGGCGATCAATACGGACAGTACTCCAACTCTATATCCAAGATTGGCCACAATCAAGGAATGATGATGGTACCTGGTGGTGGTCAACCTCAACAGCAGGGACCCTTCAGTCCTAACGTGGGTGCTGGAATGATGCAGCAGCAGCAGACGGGGTACACGGGTTACAATATCGGTGGTCCTCACGGACACTCCCAACCACAATCCATGTCTCAGATGTCTCCCATGATGTCACCATCTCCTGGTGGGTGGAACCAAGCCCAGACCAGCCCCAATCAACAAGCACAACCACACCCCCACTCCCAATATATGTCCCCAGGTGGTCCCCAAGGTCAAATGTCCCCATATGTAAATCAAGGATATCACAACCAGCAGATTTCTCAAATGAATCAATACAACCCAGCTAACAAGATGGCAGCTTCCTCCTCACCTTATATCCGCCCTTCAAATCCAATGCAGGGTGGAATGTCTAGTCCTCCAGCTTCTATGAATTTAATGGGTCAAATGCCAGTCAGGAATTCACATCCTGGGTATCCTTTACATCAAGCAACTTCAGCCTCTCAGCACAGTGCCATGATGCAGGGGGGCTACAACACACAAATGAGCCAAGGCATGACTGGTCCCAACACATCTCAGTATCCTGGCGACATCTTGACTACACATGGACCAAACCAGATGAGCTCAGGCACGATGGGGCAACACTATCCCCAATACTCTGGCAGCCAGCAACCAAGACCAGATGGCCCCGGAGGCCTGTCTCACTACACGACTCAGGCCCAAACCACGGCTTACGGTCAACCTTATCCGGCCATGTCTCAACCTCGACCCGGCAGCAGCACGCCATCACCTCGACCAACACCCCCTCCTCAATCAATGACACCTAACCACAGCAGCAGCTCTCAGGGAACGTATGGACAAAGTAGTCTCCAACAATTAGAACAACTTGTGTCCCCAGGCATGCCAGGTTCCAATCCTTACCAGCAACTCATGCAGCAGAGTTCAACCTCCCCCACAGGGTGTTCTAACATGCAATGCCAACAGCAGCAAGGTCCAATCTACAGCTCTACCAATTTTCCAACAACCACTGTATGCTCTACAGTTTCCCAGGGAGGCAATGTGCAGGCTACGAGTGGCATGGCTTCCAATCAAGGACACATGAATATGATGCAGAATCCAAATAACCTAGTGAACTATCAAAATCAAATGGTCCAAGGCTCTACTGCACCCATGAGTCCTAATCAAGGGATGATTCCACATGGACAAACAGGCATAGAGATTCAAAGACTAGAACAGCAACTGCAGCAACTTATGAGCATGCCACAGACCCAGCAGATTTCCCAACAAATGCTTGAAATTCAGGAAAGGTTAAGAATATTTCGTTCCCAGCTTCAGCTGCATATGCAGCCTCAGCAACACCATCAACAAATGCAACAACCTCGAGCAAAGGTGCATGTCCAGCAGCAAGGACAGATGATGAACCAGCAGTCTCAACAAATGGGACAGATGCGAACAATGCAAGGAGGGGCCCCACCCCCTATGCAGCCTAATCACATGAATGGACAACCCAATCAACAACAGCAGCAGCAGCAAGGTTACCCCAGAGGTCCAAGTCTTTCAGGCCAGTCTGGTATTCCGATGTCCAACTCTCGATCTGTACACTCACCCCAGAAAGTGCAACCCTTCCAGGTAAGCACTTGTGTCAGTTTGTTTGGAGTATTTTGATTATAGGTAATTGCTAGTTTCAGGAGCCATCTATTTTTTAAAAAGTCATACCCAATTTTTTAAGAGTGGTTTTGTGCGGCATTGTGGTGACAATGGTAATTTATATTTAGTCAACTTTTCCACAATGAGCTCAAATTTTCTAGGTGATAATTTCTATTTCCATTTCTTTTCTAGAATTATAGGTTGGTTATTACATATTTCATTGCCCCTTTAGAGGATACAACTATGATAGTTAATTTACTTCTTTAGAGTAAATTGTGGAAATAGGTCGTATACTTTGTTTTAAATGAGTTTTTTTATTGCTCATACTTCAAAAATTCGTATGGCAAATGTTGATAACTGTCAGAAAGTGATGTGGTAGAACTATTTTGGGCAATTTATTAAGGTAATTCAACATTATGCATGGTGATGAAATTTTTCTGTATTCTTGCCATCAACTTAAAAAATCAACTTAATACATCTGTTTAGCAATAGATGGCATTTAAAGTATCTCCTGATAATGGATGTATTGTTTGGCGGCATTATGAAATGCTTGACTCAATATGCAGCAAATTCATCCACCTAACTGATTTTCATGAGTTTAAATTTAAAGAAATTACTCATGATATGCTCACTGTCATTGATGACTTCACCTTAAAACTGATGGCATTGAGATCTTCAAGACGAATATAGGTTGAAATAAAAGTTGAACTCCCTTGTTGTCCACAAGGCCTTTGCAAAGAGATGTCAAATCCTGATTTAATGTGCACAGCAATGGAAATATATCCCAGTGATCAAAATAATTAAACTTAAGTGCTAATCCACATGTGGGCAAAAGCAGAAGGCATATTGGCAGTGTTGCTACGCTTATTATAGTATCAGTGTTGTTATGATCATTTCTAACACATTACTTGTGATGATCAGATAAATTATGTACCATATTTTCTCAACCCTTCCACCCCGCAGGAGCCCCTTCCCACATTATTTCTTCAGGCAATGTATGAAATTAATTCTTGTGTTGTGATCATCTAGTTCTAATTGCAAACTTCTAGCAAGTATCATTTGAAGAGCGCTTCTCTTAAAATATGACCTGTTTCTCACATTTTTCAGGACACTGACTCCAATATGTAAGGTTGCTGACAAAAGCTCCAATTGAATTATGAACTCTTTAATCGTGAGAAAGAAAAATGTAACCTTTCTTCAAATTGAAAATTGAAATAACCATTAAAGTAACTACTCTTCCATTTGTGCAATTTGACATTCAAGAAAAGGTGTCACTAAGTCATACGGTACCTATTACCTAGAAATGAATTCTGTGCCTTTGATCAAAATGGTTGGCCCAACTCACTGATTTACTTAGATTGAAGTGGCATCAGCTTGTCTTTTAGTCAACACAAAACCATGAATTTATTGCTTGGTTGTAGACTGTTCAAAATAAATACAGTAAACTACCAAAAAAAAAAAAAGGCATTGATTTATTTTTTGTACAGTTACTAAAAACTAAAGACAACCGTATTTTTATAACAAGTTGTTTTTCTTTTAGTAAACACAAAACCTTGAATTTTTTTCTTGGTTGTAGACTGTTCAAAATAAATACAGTAAACTACAAAAAAAAAAAAAAAGGCATTGATTTATTTTTTGTACAGTTACTAAAAACTAAAGACAACCGTATTTTTATAACAAGTTGAAGCTGAAAGTCTTAAGTTATCATTGGCCTGCCCATCACTGTCATCATAATGACACCACTGTCTATAAAAGCAAACAAGACATGTGCATTGACTTAACTTGTTGCTCACTGTTGTTTACACTGACCACCTCTGATGCTTTGGGGGATTATTTCTTAACATTATTAATCATTTGAATTCTCAGATTTTATGTTTTGAATTTTTAAATGTTTATTTGAGCAATCAATCTCATAACATATTTAATTAACTTGATCATAATCACATTCTATCACACAAATTCGAGGAATAATTATATTTTTATAAGAGGAATCTTTTCAATCGGGGTCATGCCATTCATCAAACAAAACTTTCATAAAAACAGTCAAAATCAGGGCCAATAGCTACGCATTATTAGTTTTGTTAATGCTAAAAACTATGGCCAGGTTGAGACATTGACTCGTGCATAGGCTACATAAGGCCAGGTTGAGACATTGACTCGTGCATAGGCTACATAAGGCCAGGTTGAGACATTGACTCGTGCATGCATAGGCTACATAAGGCCAGGTTGAGACATTGACTCTGCATATGCTACATAAGGCCAGGTTGAGACATTGACTCGTGCATAGGCTACGGTTGAGACATTGACTCGTGCATAGGCTACATAAGGCCAGGTTGAGACATTGACTCGTGCATAGGCTACATAAGGCCAGGTTGAGACATTGACTCGTGCATAGGCTACATAAGGCCAGGTTGAGACATTGACTCGTACATAGGCTACATAAGGCCAGGTTGGGTAAGAAAAAAAAAGGCAATTATTTTTTTTTTAAATTTACGGTTCTGTCAAAGGGCCCACAACTTTTACACGACTAGGTGCTGTGAGTAGCTGAATTAATTCCCTTTGCAACCATTTTGTTCAGCACAAGACTGTTTTTTTTTTAGTGGTTTTCATTCGCAACTTTTCGTGCATAAGTGATTAAAATTTTATTCAATTAGCATACACACTCGACAGACTGCTTCCTTAACATTAAACCCTCTATATTTTCCAAGTACTTAATAAAACCACCGATCTTGATGCCATGCTTTAGTCTTTGTTAAACATTTTGTGCTCGGATTTAACACTAAATTAATGCATATCTCGGCCCCCGGTCACACTGTTATACGGAACGCTCTGTTAAGTAATCCAAACACAATGGGAAAAAAATTGTTTTAATGAGTTATGCGCCCCCCCCCCTATTTCTCTTTCTTTCATGTTAAACATTATAAACCCTTTGCATTTGTTGTTGATGATATTTTTGTTGTTCAAGTTCGCGCCATTTGGTGTGTCTACATAATTATTGTTTAGCTTTGGTTCCCTCGAATGTAAACATGAAGACATCGATTCTTTGCAGTTAATTTTGTTGGTTTATTCATTCATCTATTTGATGTGCTTAAACAATAAGTGTACTGTTGCATGAATTATGACGTACTGGGTCGTCACAAACATAACCAGCCAGCAGGTAGGGTTTTTTTAGAAGGGATGCAGACAATGACAGATATAGCTCGTTGCAAGATAACTGCTGTACCCTAAATAGAAAAACTTCCTTTTTTTTTTCTTCCCGAAAAAAAATTAATGTCGCGTGCTTGCGAGCTGCTGGCGCGCGCATGTGTTCGCCACTCCCTTCCTATCGGCAGTACTACTCTTTGTTCCTACTTGTATGGGAGGCCAAGGAGGAGGGGCAGCCGCCGCCTAGTTTAAAAAAAAGACAGGTGCGTTGAATCAACTATTGCTTAACCCCACTATTTTTGTATTTATAAAAAAAATAAAAAAAATTATAACACGATTGATTCTATAGATGTCAGTCCAACTATCAACCTAGTCAGAGTTTTAATTCATCCTGTAGAGGCCAGTCCAATTATCAACCTAGTCAAAGTTTTACTTGATTCTATAGATGTCATTCCAACTATCAACTTGGTCAAATTGTACTGTTCAGTTTGTGTGTTCACTGTTGTCTTTCCCGTTTGAGCTACGTAATGAGGCTCGCGTGTAGATTCAAAATTATAACTTCAGTGTTGACAGACCTCCCTAGGGACTCCTTCCACCAGTAGATTATTAGAACGTGTCATTAAGTTGACAGACCTCCCTAGCGACTCCTTCCACCAGTAGATTATTAGAACCTGTCATTAAGTTGACCCAGTCACCTTAAGTTTCGATTTTTAATTTTTAAAAATTTTTACACGTTGTAAAAGCTAGTTAGAAGTTTGTGCTTCCGTTTTAAAAGGTAATTTTATTTTTATATATATATATATATATATATATATATATAATATATATATATATATATTTAAAAAAAAAAAAACTTTCTTGATCGTTGCATTTGAACCTGAAAACGAAAGAAAATGTGGAATAACTAACCCGAGCATTTTAGCCCTGGTTTGCTTTGTGAGTCACAGGCCATGTCGGAAGACCTACATGAGGTGTGTACCTTTAGCAATGGTCTACACTAATAATAATATGATAAGATTGAAAGTGGGTGGAGGTGGGGGCTGTGTGATTAAACCCATTTCTACAGCAAAGCATCTCTCTCCAGCCACCAAGGTGTGTCTCAACGCCACACACTACCAGCAATTACTAACGAGTGGTGTGTTTGGCCGGGGGGGGGGTGGGGCTTCTCTCACCTATTTATGGGTGGGTGACGTACTTAAAATAAGGCTGTGTGGTGTTGAATTCTTTGTCAGTCTGCTATTTATTCCCCTCCCCTCGTTCACGTCTCCTTCCTGTCTGTGCTTGATTCTTTTGTAAACAAGGGGAACACATAGACACCAATACAAGCTAAACACATCCGATTGTACAAGTTGTGGCCTATTTTTTGTGTTAACCAATCAAAAGTTTTGGCAATTTAAGGAGAAACCTTTTATCCACCGCCACCTCTATTTTAATTTTTTTTTAAACTTGTGATTATTGAAATCTGTGCCACTGCGCATGTCCACACAGTACATCAAAAAATGCGAGCTTGGGTAAGCGTTTTTTTTTTTTTCTTCAATTATTTTTTTTTAAAATATGTAATTAATTGTTTCGTGTGAAGTTGTGCTGGAAGTAAACCAAGTGAACGGAAGGTTTGAACACGATAACGTCTTGGCACTCCATTGCATAAACATGATGACCATCTCGTCCCTTTTAAAAATCAGTTAAATTTTTATTTTTTTTTTTAAAGCACTACCTAGTTGTATTGAGGTGTTGAGCTATTTTATACTGAGTTATACCTTTGATCGTTTTCTTTGTGTGTCCTCTGTCAGTACCGACAAACCTAACCATTTCTTGTACAGGCCTACAGTCTCCCAGTGTTCCCTGTCAGTACCGACAAACCTAACCATTTCTTGTACAGGCCTACAGTCTCCCAGTGTCCCCTGTCAGTACCGACTAACCTAACCATTTCTTGTACAGGCCTACAGTCTCCCAACTACTAGATCAGCGACATCCATTTGGCAACGCCTGAAATGTTCCGTTCACTTCTACTCTGATCATATCCATCATAGACTATATGCATACTACTAAAAACCCACCGTCCTTCTCTACATCAGGTTGTAGACGACTACACCGGATGCATTCCCCTAGATTCACCGGTTTGATACGTAACTTATTCACCTTTGATTTGCTAAGTAAGAAAAAAGAAAGTTATAAATAGTGTTGCCCGCCGGCAGTCGCCCCTCTCTCGGTGGCTAGCTTCCCCCACCGATCATTTCTTTTCAGTTAGAATAACTGTCTCTTGCTGTAACACGCCTGTGAACAACTCGTGTATCGACCCGACCAGTGAAATAATAACTACCGCTTTCAATGTTAATATTTAACTGTTAAAACAGCCGCGCCGTGAGTCACCGCCACCGTAGGCCTTGACCTTGTGCCATCATCAACTGATGTAACTTGTCAGGTTGAAATGATTCTGGTAGATTAGTTGTGCGTCTCTGCCTGTCGATAGCATTGCTTTTTTTCTTCTTTTTTTTTTTTAAGTTCTGCTGGATCCATTTACATCATGGATGTGGTATCGATTATTTTATTTTAATACATCGCCCGTGCTTAAGTTTGGACCAGTCAATTTTCTTGACTCGCTTGTAGCAAAACGGTGTACTGCTGTAAGCTGCTGGAAGAAGTGTTGCACATTCAATAAGAATGGGGGAGTTTCAACAAGACATGTGACTTGAACTTTCGCAGGTGTTCAGGTTGTAGTAATGCTATACTTAAATACAACCTAGAGTCATCGACAAGCATGCTTGTCAAATCCAATTTTTCCAAAATCCAAATTCTGCACATGACATTGAAAAAAAAAAAAGTTTTTTTACCAATTACAATTTTGAGAAAACTTGCTTTATGTAAGCATGTGTAGAGAAAGTCGAACAGGCGGCGAAACACTTAGTGAGTGATTAAAACATGCTACATTTCAACGATCATATCAACTATCATCTTATTCAAATTCAAAATGATGATACTAAAAATTACCCAAAATAACTTTTTTTAAAATGTCTACAGTAAGTTTTTGGGATATTTTCGTGCTACATTAATTACATATGTCTGCGGGAATCAAATGATTTTTTTAACCCCCCCCCCTTATGTGTGATCCGTGATCCGGCAAGACGTGTTTAGCGCTATTCTCACCAGTTTTATTTGCTAATAATAATAATGTAGAGAAAGTAACTAACGTTATTTCCGAATCCGTGTTGACTAAGGCGGATTAAATAAAATAACTTATTTAATTGCTATTGATTGCCCCTGTTGCTACCATCTCGGCACAGTGGTGGTTTCTACTTGTGTGCCAGCCCTCTGCACGCCTCACGCGCACCACACGTACTGCTGCACCACCGCACTACTAGACGCACCGTTGTAGCTCCTCCCTGACCGCACCGAGTAGTGTGGGTGTGTTGTGAATCATGTACTAGCGTTGGCAATAAAATTTATGATTAAATTGAGACAAGTGCCGGTCTTATTATGTAAGGAGAGAGGGGAGGGAAGCGTCGTGGTGAGATGCTGTGGCATCAATGTACAGAAGGAAAAAAATAATCGATAAAGTTACTGATGAGTTTAGATTTTATTCCAGCCCGCTGTCCTTTTTCTCCCCCCACCACCATGTCGATAGTTGTGTTATCCACCACCCCACTTTCGTGGGAGGAATCATCACCACCCATCCAAGCAGTTTCAAACGAAATCATTTTTTTTCTCCACTGTGTCAGGTTATGAAAGTTGGATGAGTATTTCTGTGCTAACAGGGATGTGTCGGTATGTTTGTGTGAGTCGCGAATGTGCTTTGGGATTTCTGCTTTAAAATATGATACACGTGTGTGTGAAGTTTGAGCCAACCTCATGATCGATGTGGCTCATAAAGACATTGCAGGGGATAGTGTTGCGCGGGCTTCGTGTATTCCTTTGAAGGAGCGCGCCGGGCGGTGCAATGGCAGCAGATACAAGTTATGTCATGCATGAACGTTACTTACGGTCAATGCCCAGCTGGGATGTCCTGACGACAAGTGACTGTCGGTGCATTTGAAATGGCCAGTGCACGACCTTGACATTGTTTGGATCATCCTTTTTGGTCCTTATTTAGTTAGGTGACAGGTGACAATGACCAATACTACAGTCACGGGATGGCTTATTTGGTCGATCTAGTCCAGGGCATTTTTAATACTTGACAAAGGGCTGTCTTAGACGAATCTTTGAGTTCTATTCTATCAAGAATGCGTGTTGGCTGAGGTGTCTGGTGTCAACTCTCAGCCATCCAACACATCCGTCCCACGTCACCGCAGGGTGATAGTTGGCCACCCGCAAAGCTGTTTTAGTGTTTCACACTTCCAAGAAATACTCGTGGTAACCTTCACTTGCACGCTCGTGTTCCGTTCACAATTCTTAGTCTTTTTCTTACACGCTCGTGTTCCGTTCACAATTCTTAGTCTTTTTCTTACACGCTCGTGTTCCGTTCACAATTCTTAATCTTTTTCTTACATGCGCGTGTTCCGTTCACAATTCTTAGTCTTTTTCTTACACGCTCGTGTTCCGTTCACAATTCTTAGTCTTTTTCTTACACGCTCGTGTTCCGTTCACAATTCTTAGTCTTTTTCTTACATGCGCGTGTTCCGTTCACAATTCTTAGTCTTTTTCTTACATGCGCGTGTTCCGTTCACAATTCTTAGTCTTTTTCTTACACGCTCGTGTTCCGTTCACAATTCTTAGTCTTTTTCTTACATGCGCGTGTTCCGTTCACTATTCTATGATAAAACTCAATGTTAAGACCGTGTCTTAGTTCTAATTACACATTGTCGGTAAACGGTTTCAATTGTAAACCTCCATTCTAGTGTCCATCTTTATTTGCTATTAAAAATGTCATGCGTTTTGATAGTTGAACATTGTGTAAATAAGTTTGGTGTTATTTTACTTGACAAGGAAGTTTTTTTTCTTTATTTTTTATTCACACCAAGTGCTCTTTTCCAATCACCAAAGTGCAGTTTTCCAATTGTTATCTTCATCTCTCAAAATCCAACACTGTTCCCGGCGCATGCGCTGAGAGCAACTTGCACCTATAGTCTAGTCTTTTGTAATGATGAAATGTTTTACAGTCAGCGCTGCATGTTGAGCTAACGCCGCCGGCAAGCACGTGTACGTCGGGGGGGGGGGTCCTAACCCTGCCCCCCCCCGTCCCGGACGCCCCACCCCATCCCCTTACCCTACCTCCCCCCCTCATGCGCTGAGAGCAACTTGCACCTATAGTCTAGTCTTTTGTAATGATGAAATGTTTTCCAGTCAGCGCTGCATGTTGAGCTAACGCCGCCGGCAAGCACGTGTACGTCGGGGGGGGGGTCCTAACCCTGCCCCCCCCCGTCCCGGACGACCATACCTATCCCCTTACCATACCTCACCCCCGTACTATTTCAGATTTTATTTAATAGCGCTCCCCTCACCCCTCATCTTGGTTTTTAGTTGGCCCAGCCCACAGCTAGCAGCTCTACATAATGGAATAGTTGTATAGAGAAGAGCCTACAAAAAGCAATCAATAATTTGTGAGCGAGGGCGAGGGCAACAGCACGCTTTCTACCCGCTCGCTTTTCATGTTTATTGTTCCGTTTCAGAATATTGGCATGTGCTCTCGCTTACCTCCCTGAACCCCACCCACCCAGACATATAACCTCAGCTCACACCCACCCCCCCACATCAGCTCACACACCACCACCCCCCCACATCAACTCACACACCACCCACCCCACTGCGTTCTTAATCCAGCACCGACCATCATAACCATCACAACACATTCTGTCAGCTGTTTGAGGGCCACCGACTTCTTTGTCTCGCCACTACAAGCATGCTGACTGACTCGTGGCGCTAATCAACGTTTCTTGGACTCCATAGTGTTGTACTGACCCCAGTTCGATCTCACCCTCCTCTTCCACGCCCAACCTCCTCTTCCACGCCCAACCTCCTCTTCCACGCCCAACCTCCTCTTCCACACCTAACCTTCTCTTCCACACCCAACGTCCTCCTCCACGCCCAACCTCCTCTTCCACACCTAACCTTCTTTTCCACACCCAGCCTTCTCTTCCACACCCAACCTCCTCTTCCACATCCAACCTTCTCTTCCACATCCAACCTTCTCTTCCACACCCAACCTTCTCTTCCACACTCAACCTTCTCTTCCACACCTAACCTTCTCTTCCACCCCAAACTCCTCTTCCACACCCAACGTCCTCTTCCACACCCAACCTCATCTTCCACACCCAACCTCATCTTCCACACCCAACCTCATCTTCCACACCCAACCTTCCCTTCCACACCCAACCTTCTCTTCTAATCTAAACCTAACCTTCCCTGCCACATCCACCCAAACTACATTTTAGGGGGCTGCACCTCCCCAGCTTTTTACCTGCAACATGAACCTATTGCTTTCACTGACCTGCGACTGTGTTGCGATTGAGTGGTACACTCCTAGTGAAGTTTGTAGTCATTTATAGTGTTATACATGTGCTTAGAGTTTGATGGAACGAGTGTAATATTAAAAAAAAAAAAATCAATTGAAATGAATTTGATTGAGCTGAGTGGGGTTTGCTTTGTTGATTGAAATCAACTGTTAGTCTTCACTTGGAAGAACTATTTGTGGCCCGTAACAAGTTGTGCCAATGATTTGACATGCAGTTATCTCCCATAGGCGGGGATAAAACATTGGGCCCTCTCTTACGCTGCGTTGGTTGGATTTTAAATAAAAAAAAGAGAAGTGATTGAAAGTGCACTCGGTGACAGTGGAACTACTTACAACAATAACATACATGTTTAGTATCGACACCAGTGTGCTGGTGATGAATGTAGGATGCGCACACTTGCTGGACAGTACAAGGATCTCGTGCGCTAGCACCAATCACAATGTGTACTATTAGAGCCGCTCATGACGTGTACTGGCTTACACGACCTTGACTTTGGATTACTAGCATGAATATGGTCATTTTTCAGGTCAGTATCCTTTTAAGATACATTCTAAAAGACCTTCACATATTTATTTTTTTCATTTTTAGCCCGTTTCATAACTAAGTAAAGAAACCCATAGCATTTAATATACGTAGAGATCTATCAAATAATAATCTATTGATTGTATTCAATAATACATACAACTCTTCACCTGGAGGGCGGAGGTGGCATAATAGGTTAACTGTTAACTTCATCTAGAGGGGCTGAACGGGAACAGTGTTTGGTGGGGAGGGAGGGTGTTAAACTGGGAAGGTGTTTAAATACTAACAATAGTTCGCTAATGACTCAATAGTATTACCAGAGGGCCTAGCGCCCCGTCGTGTATACCTGCATATTTCTTGTACTCCTCTGCCCATGTTATGTACACCAGCCTATGTCTAGTACACCTCTGGCTATTTCATGTACAAACTGCCTATTTCGTGTACACCTGCCTATTATATTGACAAACTGCCTATTTCGTGTACACCTGCTCATTATATTGACAAACTGCATATTTCGTGTACACCTGCCTATTATATTGACAAACTGCCTATTTTGTGTACCCTGCCTATTATATGTACAAACTGCATTTCGTGTACACATCTGCCTATTTTGTGTTTAGTACATTTCTGCCTCTGCCATGTGTACTCCTGCATGTCTAGTATACCGCTGCCCATTTTGTGTACAGTACACCTGTCTATATTGAAAACATGCCATCGCGATGTCCTGTTCAACGTGGTAGTTTGATTGGCACCAGAAGTTCTCCTAAAAACGATGCGTGTAGCCCCCCCCCCACCCTATGTTCAGTATGTGTCAGTACGTTGTCTGTTTTCAGCATGGACATGTCTCTTTGTTTCATTCGCGTGATTTCCGCTTTGGCTGTCGTCTAACCTGAATGTTATGTATAAGATGCCGTTGCTTTATAGTCTTGGCCACTTAAAGCCACTTGATGGGAGAGAAAACAACAGCCTTCAGCCATCAAACGAATACACTGTGCGCGTAATGGTCCTTGTAGGATGTGTATCAAGTAGGGCGGACACGGACACCCGGAAATACCGAGTATGGCGCACAAGCCACGTACCTGGACTCGGAAAAAATCTTAACCGGGTCCGGGTGTTTAAAAAAGAATTGTATCTTCTTCTCCAACATGTGTTCCAGCCGGTGGGTGGGGAGAACGAGAGAAACATAAATCTCTCCTTTAAAACAATCATTTTGAGAGCTGCCAGTTTCCAAGATGTTTGGTCCAAAGTGTTGCTCTGACCCACTTAACCTAGTGCAGAGAGCTTCAAGTTTCCAAGATGTTTGGTCCAAACTGTTGCTCTGATCCACTTAACCTAGTCCAGAGAGCTTCAAGTTTCTAAGATGTTTGGTCCAAAATGTTGCTCTGACCCACTTAACCTAGTGCAGAGAGATTCAAGTTTCCAAGATGTTTGGTCCAAAATGTTGCTCTGACCCACTTAACCTAGTGCAGAGAGATTCAAGTTTCCAAGATGTTTGGTCCAAAATGTTGCTCTGACCCACTTAACCTAGTGCAGAGAGATTCAAGTTTCCAAGATGTTTGGTCCAAAATGTTGCTCTGACCCACTTAACCTAGTGCAGAGAGATTCAAGTTTCCAAGATGTTTGGTCCAAAATGTTTCTCTGACCCACTTAACCTAGTCCTGTGAGCTGCCAGTTTCCAAGATGTTTGGTCCAAAATGTTGCTCTAACCCACTTAACCAAGCCCAGAGAGCTGCAAGTTAATACCAAAGCTTTAGTCAGACGACATCATTTAAGCTTTCGAGTTTTGGACAATCCTCTTTTTACAGACTCTATTTTTATGTAGATAGCGAATTTAAAAGACATATTTATCTATCAGTAATTATTCTATTCACCCTTGACATTGCTTGGGCATGATAACTAACGTTAAGATTTGAACAAAACTCTCCAAATAAAGGGTTATTTTAATTTATTTCTAATTTCTCTGTAATCTAAAAAGTCTATACCAAAATGGGTCTGTGCTATTCCCTGTAATCTAATTAGTCTATATACCACCAAAAGTTCTGTGCTATTCCCTGTAATCTAATTAGTCCAGTTACCACCAAAAGTTCTGTGCTAATCCCTGTAATCTAATTAGTCTAGTTACCACCAAAAGTTCTGTGCTATTCCCTGTAATCTAATTAGTCTAGTTACCACCAAAAGTTCTGTGCTATTCCCTGTAATCTAATTAGTCTAGTTACCACCAAAAGTTCTGTGGTATTCCCTGTAATCTAATTAGTCTAGTTAGCACCAAAGGTTCTGTGCTATTCCCTGTAATCTAATTAGTCTAGTTACCACCAAAGGTTCTGTGGTATTCCCTGTAATCTAATTAGTCTAGTTACCACCAAAGGTTCTGTGCTATTCCCTGTAATCTAATTAGTCTAGTTACCACCAAAAGTTCTGTGCTATTCCCTGTAATCTAATAAGTCTATATACGACCAAAAGTTCTGTGCTATTCCCTGTAATCTAATTAGTCTAGTTACCACCAAAGGTTATGTGCTATTCCCTGTAATCTAATTAGTCTAGTTACCACCAAAAGTTCTGTGCTATTCCCTGTAATCTAATTAGTCTAGTTACCACCAAAGGTTATGTGCTATTCCCTGTAATCTAATTAGTCTAGTTACCACCAAAGGTTATGTGCTATTCCCTGTAATCTAATTAGTCTAGTTACCACCAAAGGTTCTGTGCTATTCCCTGTAATCTAATTAGTCTAGTTACCACCAAAGGTTCTGTGCTATTCCCTGTAATCTAATTAGTCCAGTTACCACCAAAGGTTCTGTGCTATTCCCTGTAGTCTAATTAGTCTAGTTACCACCAAAAGTTCTGTGCTATTCCCTGTAATCTAATTAGTCTAGTTACCACCAAAGGTTCTGTGCTATTCCCTGTAATCTAATTAGTCTAGTTACCACCAAAGGTTCTGTGCTATTCCCTGTAGTCTATAAAGTCTAGTTACCACCAAAAGTTCTGTGCTATTCCCTGTAATCTAATTAGTCTAGTTACCACCAAAGGTTATGTGCTATTCCCTGTAATCTAATTAGTCTAGTTACCACCAAAGGTTCTGTGCTATTCCCTGTAATCTAATTAGTCTAGTTACCACCAAAGGTTCTGTGCTATTCCCTGTAGTCTAATTAGTCTAGTTACCACCAAAGGTTCTGTGCTATTCCCTGTAATCTAATTAGTCTAGTTACCACCAAAGGTTCTGTGCTATTCCCTGTAATCTAATTAGTCTAGTTACCACCAAAGGTTCTGTGCTATTCCCTGTAGTCTAATTAGTCTAGTTACCACCAAAGGTTCTGTGCTATTCCCTGTAATCTTATTAGTCTAGTTACCACCAAAGGTTCTGTGCTATTCCCTGTAATCTAATTAGTCTAGTTACCACCAAAGGTTCTGTACTATTTCCTGTAATCTAATTAGTCTAGTTACCACCAAAGGTTCTGTGCTATTCCCTGTAGTCTATATAGTCTAGTTACCACCAAAGGTTCTGTGCTATTCCCTGTAATCTAATTAGTCTAGTTACCACCAAAGGTTCTGTGCTATTCCCTGTAATCTAATTAGTCTAGTTACCACCAAAGGTTCTGTGCTATTCCCTGTAATCTAATTAGTCTAGTTACCACCAAAGGTTCTGTGCTATTCCCTGTAATCTAATTAGTCTAGTTACCACCAAAGGTTCTGTGCTATTCCCTGTAATCTAATTAGTCTAGTTACCACCAAAGGTTCTGTGCTATTCCCTGTAGTCTAATTAGTCTAGTTACCACCAAAGGTTCTGTGCTATTCCCTGTTATCTAATTAGTCTAGTTACCACCAAAGGTTATGTTTTATGCCCGACAACACAGAAAGGAAAACAGCACACATGTAAAACCAATTTTTTTTTATTAGTTTCAGACGATATATTAGACTTTCTTAAAACATGATGAGTCACTAATGATGATTACATGTACGTTCTTGTATGGTCACTGCATGGATAAGGTCAACTAATGATGATTACATGTACGTTCTTGTATGGTCACTGTAGGGATATGATTTACTACTGATTAGTATGTGCCCGTGTAGTCACTGTATGGTTATGATACTGTATGGATATGATTTACTAATGATTAGTATGTGTCCGTGTAGTCACTGAATGGATACAGCTAAACAAACACACACTGAGCTGTGCAAACACGTGTTATGATAAGCCATAGACCAGATTTGAGGGTCGTCCACGGCAGAACATTGATATATGTATATTATATATTTATATTAAAATCTCTTTGGCTCTAGTTAAGACGCTACCCTGAGGCCATTAGCCCATGTCAGATCTTTACCCTGTCAGCTCCGATGATGTATTCCAACTCTGATACAAATGGCTGCCGGCTTGATGACTTCATATTAATATACAACATACACGTCTATCGATCGAGCCCCCCCGTTCCTGGGTCAGTTTGCTAATGCATAAGATGATAATAAAATGAATAAAAATGGTATTGATTGCCGTCAACTGCGTGAATGATCAACAGTAGCCACTAATAGGTCGAGCCATGCTATGTGGCATTGCCTGGTCGAAACAATAGCTTCAGAGAACATGTACTACAAGTTTCTTGGGGTTCTTACGGTACCTTAGGTCGAGCAAGGCTATGTGGCATTGTCTGGTCAAAACAATAGCTTCAGGGAAAATTTAGTACACGTTTCTTGGTGTTCTTACGGTACCTTTAGTCGAGCCACGCTATGTGGCATTGTCTGGTCGAAACAATAGCTTCAGAGAACATTTAGTACAAGTTTCTTGGTGTTCTTACGGTACCTTAGGATTGAGCCATCCTATGTGGCATTGCCTGGTCAAAACAATGGCTCCAGGGAACATTTAGTACAAGTTTCTTGGTGTTCTTACGGTACCTTCCTGTCTTATGTGTGTTCTTACCTTACCTTCCTTGTCTGGTGTCTGTTATCTTCCCTTCGTACCTAAAGTCTGCTGTAAGCGTCTTTGTTGCTGGAATAGCTGTTTAATGTTAAAATTACCGCAAAACTAAATTTAATTCTTGTTATATTCTTTGAATATTCTTTTTTTGTTTATTGTTAACATTTGTGATCCTTGAAGATGTTACAATTTTGGACATTCCTGTTTCCCTGCAACATTATTTCCAAACTACGTCCCATGCTGAGAGACTCTGTGGATGTTGTCCTGGTAACCATGCCGTTAGCTTAGGTATTTAATGGATGCATCATTTGAGGGTCTAAGTTGCTTGCCTACCTTGTTTCAGCGTGATAGTGATAGTGCTTATGGCATGTCTGTACATCCCGCAGCCAGCCAGCCAGCATTGACAGTATCCTATTCAGATACAGCCGCTTCTTAAATTGTATACATTATTCTACAGCTCTCTCTCTCTCACTCACCTTTTGCTTTCGATGGCTCATTTCCTGGGTTGTCTACTATACGACCTTTGACCCCCCATCCCCTTTTTTAAGTTCCTAATGTTAAACTTGATCAGATTTGCCGAGAAAAGCGAGTATCTTGGTGAGCACAACTGTTGTTGGTATTCCTATTGACCCAACAACACCGCGCCTTACTACCATTTTGGAATATTCCAGTATCGTCTGCTGTCTGTTTGCCCATTGCTTTTAACAGGCCTGCGTTAATTTTTGTTCTAGGTTTATCGACCCACTATTTATAGACACTTGGAACGCCTTAATTTCTTTGTGGGACTGTTGAGATAATTCTTTAGAAATGAATGGCTTTATAGTAGGCTGAATATCGGTGCTTATCGCTCGTGAAACTACGTGCCGGCCATAAGCGTGTGCTTTTATTCCAGTAGTCTCAGTAGTAGTGGTTTGTGTTGGTCTTAATGACTTTCAAAACTCGTACATTAAGCCTTGGTTAAGTCCGAGCATTCTTAAAGTCCGAGCATGCTACATTATATTGTAATTTCTTTGTTGTATGTTTCTGTGTCATATTAAAGACTTTGGGACTAAATCCCTAAGTGACCACCCCCCCCCCCTCTTTTTTTTTTTTTTTTTTTTTGTTTCTTTTTAAGACTTTTGGACCAAATCCCCTAAGGGCCCCCCCCCCCCCCCCCTCTTTTCTTTCCTTGCCCACACCGTCTGTAGTCTGTACGTGAAACAATCTTTCTGAGTTGAACTCCCCCAACACACACCATAAATTTATACTCTCGTAACCAGCAGCCAATGTCAAACTTTACACACACAATTTATAAAAAGCCCGACAGGTAAAAGATTTTTTTCTCTCTCTTTTGAACTCCCCAGGGCAGCGCCTCATAACCTTTACAATAACAACATTGTAGACTTGGATATTGTTTGTGCCGTGTGTCGGGGTGGATGGGTGGGGAGCACGCTCAGGCATGCTTTACCAGGCAGGGGCGCACGCGGGGACTCTCCGAGGTCATCATTTTATCTAGGGCATTTATCAATATTTTAGAGGGCCTTTGTTTGAAGGCTAGTGCTGCGCTCTTGAAGAAAAAACGCGCGGAGGTTGGGGGGAGGGGTGTACGACCTTTTAAAACTACAATCATTTATTACTTTCTAAATTGCACTCTCCGGGGAAAAATGCGCGCCCTGGATATTTTTTTAATTTTTTTTTTTTTTTGATGGTTGGGTTTGACAGTTTCGTGGGTAGGGGGAGGGGATTGTACAACTTGAATCACCTGCGGAGATAGAGCCAGTCATACCCCACGAACTATCAACTACTGGCGTGGAACTAATACACAACCGGCCAGATTTGACTGCTCTTTATGGCATCGTGTCATTGAGCAAGCCCGGCCGCATAGTTCTCTTTGTGTCGTTCTAGTCCAATATGTCCTACATCACCTCGACACACAGTTTCAAAACTACGGTTTAATGCGCCTCTCATCGATCTGCTTGACTGGCGCGGATATACAACTACTTTTGGCTCCGAGCTGTGGGGGCTCCTTAAACTTGGACTAGCATAATTGTGTTGTTTTTTTTTTTTCTTCTTGTTTTTTTAAACACAGTCTGGTTTGATGACAAAAGTTGAGCGCAAGTTTCTTTAGGACTGGATTTGTCCAACCAACAAATGTGCTTAATTTCCCAGGGATTTTGTGTGGCCAGCGCTCTTAGAGTGCTTATGATTTAATGCCATTAACGTTAAACATGTTGTATATTTATAAGGTAAGTCCGCTATGTCCGGCCTGTGGATGCAGGCTGTATGAATGATTCAATTATTGCATTAATGTGTTCTACAGGCTGTATGAATGATTCAATAATTGCATTAATGTGTTCTACAGGCTGTATGAATGATTCAATTATTGCATTAATGTGTTCTACAGTAGGCTGTATGAATGATTCAATTATTGCATTGTGTTCTACGCCCTAGGCCTGGAGGAAGTGTAGAAATATATGTCTTATTTATTAGCTAATACTATGTGCGTGCTGTGACTATGATCAAACATATTGCATGCACTAGGCCTATATGTCAATTTATGAGCTAATATTGCTTTGTCCGGCCTATTGACAAAATGGCCTGCAGTGTGTAAATTAGATATCCAACTGTTGCCATTTTAGGTTTTTATTGCCATGAAGGGATTCCCCCCCCCCCCCCCCCCCCCCCCCCCCCCCCCCCCCGTTTCAACATTGGACTGTGACTGTGTGTGGCTTACTACAAAGGGAGTGGAGGTGGAGGGGTAATTGTACTTAGGCTGTAGTTGGTTATCAATGTTCTATACTGAGTGGTTGTGGCTACTCTAATGGGGGTCATCCATGGTTGTTTCATAGTCAGGCCTATAAAATACAATCAGGCCTATAAAATACAAGCAGGGCTATAACATACAGTAAGGCCTATAACATACAGCCAGGCTTATAACATAGACATGTCTATAACATACTACCACATTTCTAAAATTGAATCAGTTTGGTGGTGAACCTTTCATATTTGTATGAGTAGAAAGTTCAAGCCTACTTGTGTCCATCACCCTACCCCTGTAATCTAGACTTCTTGATTGGTCAGGTTATGTTACCTTTGTTTGTTTCTTGTTGTTTTTGTGTGTCAAAGAATTAGGTCAACAACATGGCTGTTTAAAATGACATGGTCCAAACATATAGTTTGAATGAAAATGACAAAGCATACTCACTAGTTGGAGCAAATGCACTATGTGGTGGAGGGGCTATATATTATACTTTTTCTTATCCTGGGAAAACGGCGAATGAAGATTTCATTATCCGCGGATAAAAAAATAATTTAAAAAAAATCAAAAATATATTATACAATGAATTAAACTATTAACAAGTTGATTTTTATAATGGTGTAATTGTTATTGTCTAGTAATGAATAAAAAGCAATGTTGAGAGGTTGGTCACTTTCTACTAGTTTTCCACTGCTTATCCCTAGTGATGGATAACTAACTAATAATATGCTTGTTTAACAAAAATCAGATATAACCGCCAGTAGAAAAAACCTTAGCACTTTGAGTTTTGCATTCTTCTCGGGTCATTAATTCTAGTTTCAGTACTGTCACTAAATATTTCCAAGCAAATGTTGCCGACAACTTGTAACAAGGGCTTCATTTCCAATATAAAGGCTATAGAGGTAGTGGGACACAGACAATTTTTGTGATTATCAAGTTAACGGTGCAAATGTTTCCAGCCCATGGGAGGTGACCTCGATTGGGCAGCAAAGGGATTCACGTGGAGACTCCGGGGTCAAACAATAGACTAAGAGAAGAAGTGAGGTTTAAATAGTTTTCTTTTTGTAATTGGTGTCTTATAGTTTAAATCATGGCATTAAATCTATACCGGACAATTAAGGTTTAAAATGTTATGCTATAGAAGAATTTACCCTATTAAAACGTCTTTTTTTCTCAATATATTGTGGAAAGGACACTTTGCTTATATATGAAGGTGGTTGTGTCTTGAAAACCCTTGAGAATCTGTGTACTAAAATCACTCTAAGACACAACTCAATCAACCAAACGTGCCAATCAACCAACCAATCACTTGATTATTTTACTCTGTATCACATCGTTTGCTCCTCCCACTGTAACACTGGGCTGAATTGTACCATGGGCTTGAAATTATTCACTGAAGCTGTCAAATTTCTTTCTAAAAAAATGTCACTATAGGGCTGGGCCAGAAAGTTAAAGCACATTATGTCAAAGCAAGACCCACTTTTTGTTTATTGCAACATTGAAGTATTCCCATAACTGGTCTGCTGTATACTATTGCAGGTGTGTAATGGATACACCATGCCATAACCTAAAACTTTGCACCATGCTATTGTTTCATGTTTCTATGCATTTGTATTTCCTTAAAGTGGATATTTCTTTATTACTGGTTAAGTGTGGTTATACATTGGATATGGATGTATTTAATGCAGGAGTTCTGGTGTTTTGTTTCTATTGTCTTCAGGGTATTTTTATCTTTTATACTGGATGTGTACATATTTAGTACCCCAGCTTTTTGTTTCTATTGTCTTCAGGGTATCTTTATCTTTTATACTGGATGTGTACATATTTAGTACCCCAGCTTTTTGTTTCTATTGTCTTCAGGGTATCTTTATCTTTTATACTGGATGTGTACATATTTAGTACCCCAGCTTTTTGTTTCTATTGTCTTCAGGGTATCTTTATCTTTTATACTGGATGTGTACATATTTAGTACCCCAGCTTTTTGTTTCTATTGTCTTCAGGGTATCTACATCTTTTATTCTGGATAGGCCTATGCACATCTATGTACATATTTGGTAATATAGTTTTTTGTTTTGATTGCTTTAAGGGCAAAACATGTCTTTTTTTCTTTTGAAGCCAAACTTTATTTATACTGCCATTCTTCTCTTAAATTGTCAATGTATTTGAATAGAATCAAGTTTTGTGGAGCAGGAGCAAAGATGAGTACAGAGAGTGGCAACACAATGAGGCTTGCTTGTTCAATATGATGGAAACATCGGAAATGACACTTGCTTGTTCAGTATGATGGAAACATCAGAAATGACGCTTTCTTGTTCGATATGATGGAAACAGTCAAATGACGCTTTCTTGTTCAATGTGATGGAACAGTCCAAAATGAGGTTTGCTTGTTCAGGTTGATGGAAATTGCCTGAAATGATGCTTGCTTGTTCAATAAGATGGAACAGTCAGAATTGAGGCTTTCTTCACCTTCTTCTATATATTAAGGGCCCACAGTCAATGTATTGATCATTCTTGCTCCTATGTATGTAGAGGGGATTTGCAATGTTTTCCTATAGAAGAATTTACCTTTTTTTTTTCAATATGATGTAACAGTAAAAAATGAGGCTTTCTTGTTCAATATGATTGGAAAAATCAGATTATCATGTTCTTTTACATTTCAAACATCATTTCCCCCATAAGCAAGTTTAATTTCATTTGAGATGTAAATCTATTTATGATTGTAATGCTTAGCAGTCGCTCAACTCATGGCTTAAAAATGCGCTCTGATAATGTTTCTTTAAAGATGTTCTTTTTCAAAAATGGAGGTAAATTAAAAGGAATCTGACATTTGTGTTCATGTGGGTCAAAAGTTAGGTGATACAGATTCTAACATGCAATATACATACTCTATCATACACACACCCCTTCAGCTTTACTGTGTACAACAACTGTCAACTGATTTCATCTATTATCATAAGTGACAAAAGCTCAACATACTCTACAGAAGGATTATCTCTGTGTTTCAATAATAAGTGGATTGGGTTGAAAGAAGTATAATAGTGAGTTTGTTGTGTAGTGCTGAACACTGCTCTGTGTTACACACCTACCTTCATATCTGCTCTTAATAACCTACTTGCCAGTCATGTTTAGTCCTACACAACCAGGCACTTATCAAAATACATTCTTACTTCAGGTCTTGTTCAGTTAACTATTTTACAGATATTTTGCATTCAGTTTTTCAATTTCATTTTTATTCTTGGAATTTATTTTTGTGACATTGAGTTTACATTTGATTGACTATGACTAAATTTCTAACACAAGTTTAGTTTTTAACACAGTTCACAATTAATTTGACTAAGATTTATGCTTGCATTGTTCTTTAAAAGACATTCTTAACATAGTTTATTTATAATCTACGCCAAACTCCATGAGTTTATTTTGCATTGAGGACACACCCGCTATTCAGTGGTGTCAATTGTAAATGATTATCCTGGTATTAAACGGCTACTAGTTAACGTTGGTCTTGGTTTCATCATTACAAGGAAATGAAATATTAGTTCATTAAAATAGTTGTAGCAAAGAGGTTTTTTTTTTTGTATGGAAATTTTTTATTCTTAATCTTAGGTTATTGAAAAATCATTTTTGTGTTGTATTTTAATAAATTAGGATGTTTATAAAAATGTAAAGAAAATTGATCTCTTCCAATATTTATATTATTTTAATACACTTTTGCAGAGCCCTAGTTCAACTAGCCAAATGGACACAGGCCAGCAAAAGCCTATTTCAAAGGCTGCACTGGTGAGCATCCAGCCTGCTGATTCTCTGACTATAGACTCGGGCCCTTCATTCCCAGACAGCCTTCACATGAGTCCTGAAGATTTCCACATCCCCCTTCTGGACCAGCTGACGGATCAGGAACTTTCCTCTACTCAGGACCAAGCCTCTGGCAATAAAATGCTGGAAATGCCACGGTCACACATGTCAGGTGGTCACATGGTTGTGTCTTCTGATGCCATGCCTACCACAATCACAGAGATAGCAGAAGCTCAGGAGGGCCAAGGGGACAAACCGAAACGTAAACGCATCCGAAAACCTAAGGCCGAGAAACCGTCTGGTGAACCTGGGGTTGAAGGTGAGGTGGAGAGCCCGCCAAAAAAGAAGAAAGAAAGAAAACCCAAGGAGCCCAAAGAACCGAAACCCCCTAAAGCCCCCAAGACTCCAAAAGAACCCAAACCCCCTAAAGAACCCAAGCCTAGAAAGCCACGAGTGCCCAAAGAACCCAAACTGCCGAAAGAACCCAAACCCAGGGCTCCACGTATACGCAAGAAGAAAGTCAAGGAAGAAGAGGCGGTGGTTGAACAGGCGGCTGTGGCAGAAGATGGAAATTCAACAATAATAGCCAGCGATACATCGGTCATTGAGCCGGACTGCAGCTTGGATGTTAGCAGTCAGTCCATCATTTCTGTAACCGACAATGTGCCAGAGACAACACCTGTCATAGAGCCGCCGGATGGGTTAATAGAGAGGCAGAAAACGCCAAAAACTAAAAAGCCGAGAGCCCCAAAGACATTAAAACTGAAAACTCCTAAGAAAAAGAAGCCACCCGCAACGCTCTTGCTCAAGAGCAAGAAGAGAAAACGGAACAACTCAGGTTCTGATAGTGAGCTGAATTTAGGTGAGGCTGATACCTCCACAGACATCGATCCGAGTGTTGAGAAGAGAAGGTCATCCAGGAACACCAAGAGGACAAAATACATTGATGACATTGACCTCAACTTGTCAGATGATGACAAACATGAGGATGAATTGGGTGAGGCCCCGGTCACAATGAAGAAAAACACTGAAGAAGACACATTAATAGTTGACAAAGTTTTAGGGGAGCGCATTAGAAGACTAGACAGTGATCTGGAAAAACCCAGTGAAGAAGTAGGAGCTGAAGGTGAAGTTTCAGAGAAGAAAGAGGGAGAAAATTCTGAAAAGACGGAGGACGGCGTGGAGGAATTCTATGTTAAATATAAAAATTATTCCTACCTCCACTGTGAGTGGCGTACACTTACCGAGTTGGAGAGGGGAGATAAAAGAGTTTTATCTAAGATAAAGCGTTACAGAATGAAGAAAGCCCAGAGTTACTTTGAAGAGGATGAAGATGAGCTATTCAATCCAGATTACGTGGAGGTGGATCGAGTGCTGGACATGATTGTTTCTAAAGACCCTGAAACGGAAGAGGAAACTAAACACTACCTCGTTAAATGGAGGGCTCTTTCTTATGAAGAGTCCACATGGGAGCTGGCGCAGGATGTTGACCCTAAGAAGGTCGAGATGTTTATGAGGTTTAAAGAAATTCCCCCAGAAGACCAGAGGAAAGTGTTTGCCAGGCCTCGTCCTGGGCAGTGGCGTAAGCTGGATGAAACACCTGTGTATAAGAATGACAACACACTAAGGGAGTATCAGCTAGAAGGTGTCAACTGGCTGACATTCTGCTACTATAATGGACAGAATTGTATTCTGGCTGACGAGATGGGTCTCGGGAAAACTATACAGAGCATAACATTTCTCCATGAGATCTACAAGTATGGAATTAAGGGTCCATTCCTGGTCATCGTACCTCTGTCCACTGTGGGCAACTGGCAGCGAGAGTTTGAAACTTGGACAGACATGAATGTGGTTGTGTTTCACGGGACTTCCATCAGCCGCAACATGATCAAGGAGTATGAGCTTTTCTACAAGGACGAGAACGGTCACCGGATACCAGATATATACAGGTTCGAGGCCCTCATCACCACATTTGAGATCATCCTGACAGACTTTGACCTACTGGCAGACATTGACTGGAGGTGTGCTGTTATTGATGAGGCCCACCGGCTTAAGAACAAGAACTGCAGGCTGCTGGAGGGACTTCGACTCTTTGATTTGGTAAGTTTTTCAAGATTTAACAATTGTTTAAAAAAAAACAACATTGAAATAGACAGTACTTATCAACATTAGATTTGTTCCTTATTCTATCATGATCATCTCATTATTTAATATATAATTTGCATTTTTATATGCAATCCACATTTAGCAATTTCTTGAATGTCCTTGTGCATTGACTAATTTATGAAGCTATGTCGCAATCAAGCTGTGGCAACTTTAAATGTTAAAACTGTTAGCTAGTCCTCTCTATCACATTATTGATCATGGCAATCTAGGATTACAGCATAGTAACTGTGTACATTTAAAAAAAATTGCAGTACTTCTTTTTTGCCTATGCAATGCCTGAGATGTTGTTCAATATATACTGCAGATAAGGAAATTATGTAACATCCATTACAGTTGAATTTAATGTCAACATCAAATTTAAGTGGTGTCAGAGCAATGTTTCATTGTATTAAATTCATGTCCTGATTACTGGATCCAGGATGCTGAACTTTTATCCCATATAATTTATATAACATAAATGGCTAAATTTTGTTGTAACCCTTTAGAAACCCATCAACAAAAGCATGTTAAAATGTTTTTTTTTGTCTGTCACATTTTGATGCAGTCATATCATTGGTAAAAAAATGTTGGGAGCAGACTTATTATGCCATAAGTATTTTAATTCTTGAAAGTGTGCAGTCACCATAAAGGGCAGAATTGAGTGACATATGGCCTACTGGTACAAAGAATACTTTTAAACCTTGATATAAAGTCACAGTCAGACTCCCATCACAACAGGGGTGGATTAATCTTACTGAGTTGTCAGAGATAAAACTGCTCATTCAGTAATGTAGGTCCCATGAAACTGAACAGAACAGATGAACCTGGACTGATGTGAAATTTGTTAAAAGTTGGTGTCCCCCTTATTAAACTGAATATTTCTATGATGCCTAATAACTTGACTCCAACCCACAGGAACACAGGGTGCTATTGACCGGCACACCATTACAGAATAACACTGAAGAGTTGTACAGTCTTCTCAACTTCCTCAGTCCAAATAAGTTCAACTGTGCAGAAAGTTTTGTCAAAGAGTTTGGAGACCTGAAGACTGAAGAACAGGTGGACTCTCTGAAAGAAGTGAGTAGATTGCTAATCACTGGAAAGTTTCTCTCATTGATTTATGTGACATATCATCTTTAAACCCCCCCACCCCCCCCCCCCCATCCGGGTCCTTGGCTCCTGGCCATGAACCCCATTTTATAAGCACCTAACACCTTCCTTAAAACATCCTTAATTTGAGAATAGGAACTAGATTTTCCACACTTTCATTTGTAATAGTTTAGAAACCATTGTACAACTTTTAGGAGTCGTTGGAAATGTCTACATTTCTATTCATCTTTGCAAGTGCAAAATCACCATCAGGTCTTTATACAAAATTTGCTGGGGGAAAAGTGAAAGATTTTCCAGCCCCTTGCATTTTTTGCAATTGTAATTTTTATGAATTAGTTACATCATGATGTACAGTATTTTTTCATTAATCTTCCATGTTGTAACCACTTTGTCTAGATCTTGAAACCAATGATGCTCAGACGTCTCAAGGAAGATGTAGAAAAAAACCTAGCCCCAAAGGAGGAGACAATTATAGAAGTAGAATTAACCAACATACAGAAGAAATACTACCGTGCCATCTTGGAGCGTAACTTTCAGTTCTTGTCAAAGGGAACTTCCAGTGTTCCTAGTCTCATGAACACTATGATGGAGCTCAGGAAGTGCTGCAACCACCCATACCTGATCAATGGTAACATTTTCTTTACTTTGAATACACCCATACCTGATCAATGGTAACATTTTCTTTACTTTGAATAGCTAGATTTGTAGCGTTCATTTAAATTATTTTTTATTTCTTAGAATAAGCCAAAATGAACTAATAGTTTGTGTTTAACAGAAACATAATTAAACAATGCATTAAAAAAAAGTTTTTCATATAAATCCTTTATAAAATGTAATATCCAGCATGGGGGGAGTGCAAATAATTTGACAAAACATGAATTCAAGTAAGGCACTCTATAAGAATCCCAATTAGTGCCGCCGCAAATGTTTTCTTCACTATATTTATACACCCGATTGTTACGCACTGACTTGTATTGGGAGAAATTAATCTCCTATTTTAATTTTAATTGGCTCGTTGTAAACAGTGCCTAACAAAGGACGATACCATATAATCAACAATATTAAAGATACGACCCAAAACAGTTTCTAGTTACAATTAATTAAGATTTATTATGTCTTAAGATAATTACAAAATAAAATAAAATAAAATTACAATCTTCAACAATGTCATACCGTCTACAGCATGGCCATGTGTCAATTATGTTAATGAAATAATGATGCCAATAAATAATGCGAAATAAACACATATAAGTAGGAGCACACAAATACACAAAGAATAAAACACGCCTCATAATGTTAAGAAAATCTATGTGAAAAATCTCCGTCCCTTTTTTTTTCGTCCGTGCCTGTCAATCCCTTATATAGGTGGGTCTACCGACGCCTAAGCCCTGCCTTCGATAAGCTACACGATAGTTCTAGAACCATCAGAATGATTCTACAAAACACTACTTGGAACAGATTAATTATTTTTAGTGGCTGGCGGTGTAAACAAGAATACTTCAAAGGCCTAAGCCACACCCCTTTGTGAACACATCGTCTCATGCGGGGTCAATCAGAGGGCACGCACGAGAAATATTATGTAAACAAGCTCTCTATAACACCGATTTTACACAGACTTATTTCACCAACAATTTTAGAAAGACAAAAGAAAATATTACGCATCAAACGGCTTTGTGATAGTTTTTTTTTTTTTAAATCTCCTTTAGCGCATTTATCAGGAACTCATTTTATCTTCCCCTTGAAAAACAGGAAAAACTGATTTATGGGGTTTGGGCTGAAAATTTGATAGAATTTGTTGTCATAACGAGTCTATGTGCCAAGTTTTAGCTCGATAGGTTGGCGGGAAGTGGGTCAATTGGCTGTCTAAGATTTTGCCAGTACACCACCCAGCCAGCCACCCATGAACAAAAATGAAGTTAATATGAAGGATTTAAAAAGATAAATACATTTCTTTATTTTAAAATATTTTTGTTAAATAATACATTATTTGAAAAATTTGAACTTATAGGTGCTGAGGATAAAATTCTGGAAGAGGCACGTGAGAAAAAAGCTGATGACCCTGACATGATGCTTAATGCCATGGTCCAATCAAGTGGCAAGATGGTTCTCATGGACAAGCTTATGCCACGTCTCAAAAGTTCTGGCCACAAAGTACTTATCTTTTCCCAGATGATTCGTGTGCTAGACATCATTGAAGATTACTTGATACAGAAAAAGTGAGACAAACTATTTACATCTTGTTAGAACCATTCCTATTGTTTGATCATAGCTACATCTTCTTTGTCTTTATCACACTATGACTTTGGTTTTAGGTACTTGTATGAACATACATATCACTCTTTTAACTATGACTTTGTTTACAGGTATTTGTATGAACGTCTTGATGGTAGGATCAGAGGAACAGTTCGACAAGAAGCGATTGATCGTTTCTCTAAACCAGAGTCAGACAGGTTTGCTTTTCTCCTCTGTACCCGGGCGGGTGGTCTGGGCATCAACCTGACTGCAGCTGACACTGTGGTCATTTATGACTCTGACTGGAACCCACAGAATGACCTGCAGGTACCTTTGGAAAACATACAACTCTTTCTAAAGCTTAAGAATAAGTATTATACATTTTGTGTATGAAAGACATAGGAGTTGAACATTTAAATTAATTTAATTTGTAAATATTTTGCGCACGCTTTAATATTATTATTTTTTTACAATTTTTAAGAATATATCTTTGAATATTTTGACTTTTGCAATAATTGTATAATGCAATGGATAACATAACACTGATGGTCAATGTGGCCTTTTGCATGTGATTTTGTCATGGTCTGTCAGAAATTTCACTGACTCAGTTAGAAATTTCACTAACTTACATTTGTGTTGACAGGCTCAAGCTCGCTGTCATCGTATTGGTCAGAGCAAAGCAGTGAAAGTGTATCGTCTGATCACCCGGAACTCCTATGAGAGGGAGATGTTTGACAAGGCCTCACTGAAGCTGGGTCTGGATAAGGCCGTACTCCAGTCCATGGGTGGGGATAAACTTGTCAATCCAGTAAGTCTTCCAGTTGATACCAAATTATTGCTAAAATAATACCAGCATGATATGTAATGGCAAATTATGTTTTATATGTGGGAGTGATAGACTTTAAAAACACTTTTGCCATTGCATCCATTTTAAACCTACACAATCTTGGCATCCCCTAATTTGAAAGAAAAATTATTTGCGCCTCTTCAAACATAAAGGTACAAATTAGGCATACGCATAGTAGGCATGAAAATTTGGCCACTCTTTCCAGACCTCCCAGGTTTGAAACTGCTGCCCGATAACTATGTAGTGATAAAATGACATTGGAAACTACCGCCCTACAACTACATAGTGATCAAATGAGGATTGAAACTGCCTCCCTATTATTACATAATGATAAAACTTAACAAGTGTACTAGGTGTTAATGAACATATTATTTAAACTTTAGGCGACTCAGATGACAAAGAAAGAAATAGAAGATCTCCTCAAGAAAGGGGCTTACGGAGCCTTGATGGAAGACGACAACACCGGGGACACCTTCTGTGAAGAGGACATTGATCAGATCCTGCAGAGGAGAACCAAAGTGATACAGATAGAGTCAGAGGGCAAAGGATCAACATTTGCCAAAGTATGTGTACTCGTTGTTTTGAGGAGAGATTTAGTTTTGGGAAAAAAATCCTTGGATGTTTTATTGTAAGTCGTTTTTACTGTAATGCTTGTCCGAAAACTCAAACATTTCTTTTTCAATCAGGCAAGTTTCACCATGTCAGAGAATAGAACAGACATTGACATCAATGATCCTAATTTCTGGCAGAAGTGGGCCAAAAAAGCAGACATTGACACAGAGGTCGGCAACAAGAAGGTATGCATTTATTTTAGAGTTATGAAATTATTTTATTCTGGTGTAAATTGCTTTTAAGCTTGAAAACAAACTTTATTCCTAAGTCAAACAAACTTAAAGAGATCAAAATGCAATTAAAATTTTTACTTCACAATAGACTGAACTCATACTTGCTGAGCCCCGCCAAAGACGACAAACAAATCGTTATGGAAATGATGAAGGGACTATGGAAATAAGTGACCTTGACTCATCATCTGGAAGTGAGGATGAGAAAGGGAACAAATCTAAGAAGATGCGAAAAACTCGAAGCCAACGAAGAAATCAAGATGAAGATTTGGATTATGCCAATGATGTTCCTGGAGACAAGTATGACCGATCAGAATGCTTTAAGGTGGAAAAACTGTTACTTGTATATGGGTAAGTTGGCCTTGTACATGATTTCTTTTGAATAGTATACACATTTTTTTTTTTTAATTATAAACTCCAACCAAATAACAACAAAATTATTGTGAATTATTTAAAAATATGCTCACAACTCTTTATAATTTTTGCTCCCATTGAGATTTAGTAATCATTAATTTATTTATACTTCACAGATGGGGAAGATGGTCTGACTTAATTAAACATGCCCACTTCAAGAGAAGACTTTCACAGGATGATGTGATCATGATTGCAAGATCCATTGTAAGATTGATTTTCACTAAATTTACACTTCAAATCAGTTTTATTTTTACGGTGCGTACGTTGTCTTTAAAATAAGAAATTGTAAACCTAATTTTATTTTATTTACCAGTTGGCCCATTCGCTAAAGTTCTACAAGGGTGACGACAAAATTAAAAACTTTATATGGGACCTAATTTCTACAGGAAAAGAAGGAGAGTTAAAGAACCATTCAGGTAAGCATGGAAATCATTAATGTGGCAAAATTTATATTCAATACAAAAAAGAATACTTAAAATACATAGCAGTGTCTTTGAAATGTACCTAGATGTAATTCCGTGCAATTTTTTTGGTAGTTTGTTTGTGGTTACTTCCAGTGATGACTTGTCATGCTAATACACAATGAGTCTATAATAAGATAAGATGTGCTTGTCTTGGAGACTTGTCATGGGTGAAATTTAAGCCAGACTGAGGATTGTTGGTTTACAACTGCTTTGTATTCTTTTCGTGTCTGATTATGTGTGTGAATATAACCTCCGAGCTGAGAAGAATTTTTATGTCCCGTCCCCCAAATGCATTCCACTAGTTAGTCAAATTTGTAAATATTCAGGGTGTAATTATTATTGTTATTTTTTTTAATAATTAAAAATGTTAGGATTATCAGCTCCAGTGCCACGTGGTCGAAAAGGAAAGAAAAGAAAAGAGAATTTAAACTTTCTAGAAGATCAGGATAAACCATTAGACTTTGACCCTGAACTCATTCTGGATAATGGCTACAAGAGACATCTACACAGGCATTCCAACAAGTAAGTATTTGTTGAAGAAATAGTCTTTGAACTCACTTAACCAGCATTGCCTAATGGTCTATTAATTTCATTCTGAAAATTAGTTCTGATTTCAAGAAAATGTATTAAAAATAATTCCTTCTAACATGTTTTACTAACTTTAGTAATTATTTCAAAGGTCTATTTTATAACAATTGTATTAAAGATTTTTTTTTAAAATCTTGAATCTGTGAATAAAATTAAAGAAAATATGTTAATTGTGTGTCCATGTTTTGTCCAGGGTGCTCCTGAGGGTCAGGTTACTCTATTACATTAAACAAGAACTCATTGGTGAAGAAGCAGAGAAAGTTTTCCAAAATATTCCTCACACGTAAGTTGATTAAAATTCTGTTTCTTCACAAATTTCTTAGATATTTTACTCTTCCTGTTTTTGTTTTTGAAAAATTAAATTTTGTGCTTTTATTTAAAACCCAGATTAAAATGAAATATTTTAAATATTTTTAAATTGTATATATATATAAATATAATAATATAATATACCGAGAGATAATCATCAAGTTGACCATTAGCCAATCTGATTTGTTCCCCCCATTAAATTCATGTGATATCTGTACAGAGAGATCAGCATTCCACAACCTATATTAGAAGGGGAAGTTCCTGTCCCATGGTGGGATGAAGAAGCTGACAAGTCACTGATTATTGGAGTCTTTAAGTATGGCTATGAAAAATACAACTGTATTCGCTCTGATGCTTCTCTTTGCTTCTTGGCAAAGTGTGGACCTCCGGACGGGGCAGCACTTTTGGCTGAACAAGAGGATGACAAGTAAGTACTGTTCTATCTCCTCTGATGTCTTTGTTCACTTGCTATAAGTTGTTATCTCAATTCCTGTCATTTGAATATGATTTGAGGACATTCCCATGATGACTTGCCATGCTAATACGGATTGGGCCTCTAATGAGATGAGATGTGCTTGTCTTTGAGGCTTCAAATGAGTTGAAACCTAAGCATGACTGAGGATTTGCTTGTTTTAAAGATCGTAACTAGCTAATTTTCAGTGAAAAATTTCATGCTTGCTTGTAAATTACCATTCTTCCTAAACCACCAATACAATTTTTGCTGACTTGGTACATTACAATCACCACAACACAAGAAAGCTTCTCTTTTCTTCAATGCAGGGATGATGATGACAAAGATGATGATATGACAAAAGATGACATGGATGATGATGATAATTCTCAAAGCTCAGCCAATGAGGGAAAAAGTTGTGATAGGAGCACTTCTAGCAGAAAGAATATTGAAGATGCAGAAGAAAAAAGTTCAGATGAAAAAACCTTAGATTCAGCTCCTGAAGGTTCTTCTGAGAAAAGGTCTTCAACTTTGGCTGAAGGTAGCTGTGTTTTATTTAACATATTTATTCAGGACAGAATATCTTTTTTTCACATATTGTCCACAACTTAATTTAAAACTAAAACTGAAAATGCTGCACTTTCTTTTCATTAAGAACATTTTCTTTCAAGTTGAAATAAAAATTTGAAAATTCCCAGGTGATGGTGACAAACTGCTGTTTCCAGACGCTTCCAGTCTAAATGTACGCTTGAGGAAATGTATAACTAATTACCAAAGGCATCATAAAAAGCGCATGCTCAAAAATGAGCAATTGCAAAGGGTAAGTAACTCATCACAATATTTTAGAAAATATGAATTCTGCTCCATTTAAAAATAAAGTTATTTGGGTTATTTTATTAAAGAATTTCATTTCTGATATCTTGAATAGCCATGGCAATAAAACCTTTTATTAAAAACTATTTTCAGAAGATGGAGCGAAGAGAGCGGACAGATATTAACCTGAAAGAGAGGGAGTACAAGCGCAAGGAAATTCAACACAGGTTAGTCTCATTAGGTTACAGGTAAAAAGGAAGGTTATCATGTTCAGCTCAAAGATTTTAAACATTGTGGAATAAGTTTCATTGTACTGACAAAGATTTTTTTGGAAAAAGTGATTTACTTGGAAAATAGCTTTTGTGTCATGGTAGTATTTATAGACTGATAGCTTTGGTGTGATTTTTCTTTCATTAAAAGTTAGTGTATTGCTTGTGGTCTGTATTCTCCCCCTACCCACCACTATGACCAGAGGCAGGTCTTAGCCCCACCAAATTGTAAGTTTTCGGATTCATTACAGTCGTTGGACAAGGAGAGAGGAGGCAGATTTCTATCGAACTGTGTCCACTTTTGGTGTAGAATTCAGCCGAGCGGCAGGCAGGTTCCGATGGGACAGATTCAGAGAGCAGGCTCGTTTGGATAGAAAGGCAGACGAGTCCTTGACAGAGTATTTCCATGCCTTCTACTTCATGTGTCAGCGAGTTTGTGGCAAATTGAAGCCTGGAGACAGTAAGTTCAATGTAGAATTATATACAGTCTACACGTTTAAATTCAATTTCTAATTTTAACTCAGCTTAAAGCATAAATCAATCCTCAGTAATGCCCTTGATCCTTGATTGAATTTTCTTTTTAACTTACTCTCCAGTACCCCCAAATATGATTTTTGTGGAACCAATCACTGAAGAAAGGGCAAGCAGATGTCTGGCCAGAATTGATCTATTGAACAAGATCCGCCAGGACATTTTGATGCATGCACACCTGGATGAACGGATAAAACTCTGTCAACATTCCTATGACATGCCCAGCTGGTGGATCTGTGGTCAGCATGATAAGGAGCTCCTTATTGGGGCTGCAAGGTAAGGTGACATCACAGTTAAAAGGCATTGAAAAATAGTTACCTAACATTACTGTAACATCTTGGCAATTAGAGAGGGAGGTAAAAATAGCATGCAGATTATGCAATCACGATTGCAGAGATAGAAAATCAGATATTCGATTATTATAATTGTATGGAGACATATTTGCTACTTGAATTTGCAGAGATTATTCTAGTGTACAGAAAGAACTGACACTGTATGTTATATTATTTGATATTATACTTATACTGTGATTATGTAAATAAGTCTAAATAAAAGTAAATAAATAATGTGTAACAACAGGACTTGGCATTTTCATTATGGAGGGAGGTGAGAATCGTATGTGTGATAGAGAGAGCCTCCAACAATATTTATAATGTTGTCACAAGACGATACAATAAACACTTGTTTACATTGAAAACACAAGATGTTACAATGACCAAAAAAATCATAGAAGTATTTAGTCTCATTGGTGGTGTTTTAATTTTTTCATTACAGACATGGGGTAGCTAAAACCGACTTCAATATACTTCGTGATAAAACACTTTCATTTCACTTGGTACTTGAGAACTCCCTCAGGTCCCTAAGAGGTCACCCCGCACCAATGACACCATCTCAAGTGTCGGCTCGTGCTGAACTTTTCAGTAAGTTGTCTTAATTTCAAAGTTGTTTTTTTTTTAAAAAGTTTTGTTGATAATTAAGTGTAAAATATTTATGAATGCTCTCTTGACCTTCAGGCTTTCAAATCCTCTCATGCTAATGATTCCTCAATTGCCCTTTATTTCCTTTCTTATTTATTTTATTTGAAATATTTCCAAAATATTTTTCAATATAAACTCTTTTACTTCCTGTAATCTTGCCTTTGGAAAATCCAACATCCAGCAGTAACAATGGCCAACACTTCTTTTTCTTGTCGTATTTTCATTTGTCCTGTCTGCTGAGGAAGGTTCTTGGCAGAAATGTTCTTCTCTTATTGTCCTTTGTCTTTCCATTCAAGCTTCCACATACCTTGTTCTATGGCTTTCAAAACTGGAAATTCTATGACATTTCATTTCTGAGTGGTATCAAAATGTAGACAACCTGTTAGTTTTAAAGTTAATGATAGTATTTTTACTGGACCTTTTCTTCAAAGCATCAGTGGAACATAGACTGAAATATACAGAGTAACAAGAACATAGACTGTAATATAGTTAAAAGAATACAGGCTGAAATATACAGTTACAATTATACAAAGAAAATATTTCAAGAACTTTTGGTATCTGCTTGATATTTTTAATTAAGTATGACACATTTCATCAACACTAAACTGAGCAGTGATTACTGCATAATCCTTAATGTAACTATCTCTACTTACAGCCAGCAGCACACCTTTAGCTAAATATGATAGGCTGGAGCAGCTGGTCAAATCACCACCCATGGATCAGCAAGAAATAAATAAGGAGAAGATCAAATCTGAGGAAGAGACGACTGACAATGGCAAGGTTTCACTCGGCGCTTCAGAAACGAGGATTAAGAAAGAAACAGATGGGACTAAAGAAAAGGTTAAAGCGGTAAAGAAGGAGGTGAAGGCGGCAAAGAAGGAGAAAGAGCCTCCACTTATAACAAAAGAAAAAGATACAGATGATGAAGAGGGTAAAGAGGCAGCAGGCAATATAAAAGAGGAAAAAGGTGAGGGAAAAGTCAAGGAGACCTCCTCAAAGAATGTTGAAATGAATAAAGAAAAGAAAAGCAAAGATGTTAGGGAAGAAAAGGGTAAGAGTGATGAGGAGAAGCCAGAGATAAGCCAGGAGAAAAAAGATGAAGAAAATCAGGAGAAAGTCCATCCAAGTTCAAATCAAAAGCCAGACAAGCCCGACAATGAAAACAAACCTGTTGAGCAAGAAGAGCTCGGCAAGACAAAAGATTCAGACAAGACATCCAAGGAAGATTCTTCTAAAATGTCTCCAGCCAAGCCAGACAGTTTGTCTGTATCGGGTGAGCCTAAAGACGATCTGGACATGGCAGCACCTGATGTTAAAGATGACATCGAGATGCCTAAATTAGAGCCCTTAAAAATGGGAGAAGATCTCCCTCCTGTCAAATTGAAACTGACCAGTCCCAAGACCAGTGATGAAATTAAGGACATCAAAGTTAAAGAAGAAGAAAAGGATGTCAAAGACGAGTTAGAGAAGATCAAAGAACTGGTGGCAAAGAGTGAGGAGAAAGAGTCGGAGGATGACAACAAACCAGACTACGTGAAGCTGAAGGAGAAAATAATCAAAACAGAGATTGAGAGAATCAATGAGGAGAGGTTGCGTAGAGAAAGAGAATCAAAAGGTGGCGATGGTGATGTGGCAGTAAGTAGATTTGTTTTGACACATTTTCTATATCCAATAGTGACTAAGAAACACTGCCATGCCCTCTACAGATAAGCCCCAAATATTTTGTGTTAATTCTCTGTTGAGAACTGTAAATAGGTCAAGTTTAGCATAAATAATTTATTTCACCTTTGTAAGCTAGTTCCAAAATATCCTACTGTTTGTAATAAGTTTAGAAGCATCTGTACAGTGACTTATCAAATATTTATTCTGTTACAAATATTAATCTCAAACATTATTTCTTTAAATTTGAATCATCTCCACTGTGCTATTGTAGAATATTTCCAATGTCAGACTTGGTTACGCATACTAATTTGGTGTACACTGTACTATTTTGAAATGTCTCATAGGATTGTACACAGAGACCTGTCAGAACTATGATTTTAAGACGGGGTTGAAAAATATAAAATGTGGTTAGATTTACTATTTTTACATATTTTTTTTTAGATTAGCTCCTTTCTACATCCATTGTTATATGGGTGAATGGACCAAAAAATTTTGTTTGTTGGGGACCATCCATAATTATATATGTATGCATCAAGTGGTTTGACTTAGGAGCATACAGGTGTGCATGGGAGGGGGGGTAAGGGGGGAAGGTGTGTAATTTTTTAAAAGACTTTCATGTTTTCTGATGGTCATATTGTTGCTGTATGTTTTTTCACAATTAACTCACTAGATACCCCAACAGTAATATTAGCATAGTTGCCCTAGTGAAAAATTTAGACATTTGGGAATGTGTGAGGGGAGGGAGGGGTAAAAATTGTCCAAAAATAATAGTAAGTCACTAAGCAGCTGTACAATTTTAATACCAGAGTTTTGTTCCAGCGCCCATCTTCTCTTCTCCCCAATACACCTTGCAATGGTAATTTATTATCAGGCTAACTATGAGTTAACGGAAAGTATAATCAGGCTCCTAGGCTTAACGTGGTGGTGGCTAACCTGCTGCCCGCCACATAAAATATTGTGGATGTATCACAATTGAACTTATATCTTGATTCAGTTTGCGATTATTTTCTTTCTTTCCCTAAAAGCACATTTGAAGTACAGTGAAATCTTTCATAACGAGTTTAATTCGTTCCAGACTCTTACTCGCTAAGCGAAACACTCGTTAAGCGAAACAATTTTTCCCATACAAATCAATGCAAAATACAATAATGCGTTCCATGCTGAAAAAATAATTTTTCAAAAATTTTTATTAACATTTATTCAAATAAAATTACTTATGAATTGTTAAGGAGTCTAACAACTTGGAATACAATTTAGATTTGAAAAAAAAAACGTAAATAAAAATATGAATTTATGACAAATAATTAATCCTTTTTACATAGAAAACTGATTAATCCTTTTTAACTAGAAAACTGTCTAAAGACATTTGTTTTTGTCAACGCTTCAAAATTTGATGAAAATGTGTCACAGCATTATCATTGAATAAATTTGTATCACAAATAGCCACGCCCACACCTTGTTGTCGCTTTTCAAGGATTTTACGTTTGATTTCAACAGTTATTTTTTCTCTCTTATGATTGTCTTCTTGTGGTTTTTTTTTTCGAAGACATTTTAGCACAGGTTATTACACTTTGCACATAAAAAAATTACGAATACTGTCTGAATACAAAATTTGTAAAAGCTGGTGATCACACACGAAAACAATAAGCTTACAGACCAAGTGCTAAACACAGACTAATGCAATGGTTCTCAACCTTCCTAGTACCGCGACCCTTTAATACAGTTTCTCGTGTCTTGGCGACCCCCCAGCAACCTAATTATTTTCATTGCTACTTCATAGCTGCAAGAATATGTGTTTTCAGATAGTCTAAGGTGACCCCTGGGAAAGGGCCGCGCTACCCCCAAAGGGGTCACGACCCACAGATTGAGAACCACTGGACTAATGCATCTGCGCGGAAGCCCCGGCTCACAAATGAAGTCGGGAAAAGGGAACTTCCCCTTTCTGCGTATCTTGTTATGCCAAATATCGCTCGTTAAGTGAGCAACTTTTTCCACAATTTTTTTTGCTCGTTATGAGAGGTTCCACTATATATATATATATATACACATCCTCCCTCCCCCCCTCTGGGAATTTAAAAAAAACAAAACAATATGTGCCACTTTGGTGCACCCTTACCATTTTTTGTTACACTGATATAAACAAAATTTATTGCAATAAGTAATTTCATATTTTAAATAAAAGTTATAAAACAATGTTATCATTTAGTAACTACTAAAATTAAAGGATTTCTTTAAACACAGCTACATAAAGGCAATCTAATTGTACACAACCATTTCTTCAGTTGATATCTGATTATGTGAAGAATGATCCAAAACTATGTAAAGGTATATGCAAAAGTGCATCTCTGCTTTTTGATATTATGGGAATATTTATTTGATACATGATACTGTTAATGTTTATTTCTTGACTATTACGATCCCGTACCATATGATTTTGTGATGGTAAAGGACCATTATGAGACTATGGTGTACTATTTAAGGAGTTCCAGGGTAACCAGGTCTGCTATGTTAGTCACATATCTAATCTATACTAATAAAAGAAATTAAATGATTACAGCCTTTTGTTGGAGGACCTCCTGGTATCTTTGGAGATGATCCCAGTGTGATGGAAGTGGAAGGTCTTGAACCAGGAGAAATAGCACCCACACGTTACTTCGGGCCAGCTGTGGAATGGCCAAAGGTAGGAGCAAAAACGCTATAAGATTAAATAGTCTCAGATATCATTAAAATTTACCACCATAAATATTGGCCTATCTTTAACTTGTCCTTTGACAGGACCGGGTAATATTTCATCGCCTCGAGCACATCTGCTACACCATAGAGCATGGAGAGTGGCCCTTTTCTCGCAGACCGCCACAAGCTTTCTTCCCCCCAGGAACTCCCACCCATGCAGAATCTCGGAGTGAGACGCCCGTCAGCACCGCCGTTAAATCAGACAGCGCCACCGGCGCCGAATCCGACCACAGCGAGGGTCTTCCCAGCGCCGAGCCCATCAATAAGGTGAACATTGGCGGTGGGTCAGAAGTGACCCCAGAGAAAGAGTTTCTTATTCGTATGACTCCTGAGGTAGGGCAGACTTGCTGTTTTTGTAACATCACCTTTTTTCATTTCGGTGGATTGGACTCATTGTTTTATTGTTTCATTCACTTTGCTGGCAGATGTGTTGAGCTTTTTTTTCTTATCGTCAATGCTTCTTACCAATACAAATTTTCTGCCATTAAATTGTCATATAAATCAAAATGCATTCCATGTTTAAGTCAACTACCAGGATGGTCTTGGTACATTAGCCACTGGCCACAGCCCTAATTATGGTCAGTAATATATTTTTTTTTTTAAAGTTCAAGCTGGAACATTATTTTATAACTAGATTCACTTTTCCAGATTTCAGAACTAGATTTCATGTTCAATAAAAAATGATAAGGTTTATAGACTTTTAAATGAGATTTGTTTAATGTTTCAGTTCGACAAAATAAATTTATAATACAAATCAAAGCAAATTATAGAAATGAAAGCAAATGGTGATATAAATCAAAGTGAACTGCACTTACATTTTTAGATGAAGTTGGTGTCAAAAAATAATTTCAGTAGAATATTTTTTTTAAAATTAAAACTTAACTCTGTTAGACTAATTGAGCTTACTGAAAACCAGATCATAACAACACCATCAGTTGAGATGAAATTATTTAGGTGATGTTCTGCTGTAAGTCTGCCTTTCTCTTTGACGCTTAGCCTTTAAATACACTTTTTTGGTTTGTTCTAAGGCTGTTTTCTGCATGACTTTAAATGTTTAATTTTATATGTATATACATATATAACACACACACCCCCCATATGAATTGCTTTTCAATGCTAATCAACCATAAGTTTTTTCTTATGATTAGCTTCACGTTATATACAGGGTTTTGTTTCTTTTGTTGCACCTATTTTTTTCACCTTTATTAAAATTAAACATCCTTAACAAACAAATTTATTTTATAAAATATTTTTACATTAACTGGATGAATTTAGCAAAAAATGAGCGAAGCGGAAAACCAGATTTTAAAATTAAAATAAACAACCTAAAAAATCTTAAATATATTAATTAATAATTATTGTGTTTTTGTAACACAAGTTATCATTTTTCTGGAGAGGACTTTCAAGTAAATGTGTTTCATTACATGATTAATTATATTAATTAATCATCTTAAAACACTTGAATGTTTCAGAGAAATGACAGCTTGAAAATGACATTCCACAAGCGGGGCAGAGGTAGAGGCAGGAAGTATGAGATAGATCCTGATAAAGGTACAATTGACCTTATCACATGTTACTAGTTATAATATTCCAATAAGTTGAGGCCGCTGAATGTACTCTCCTGTACCAGGTTTATGTTTAAAGAGATTCCAATTCTACTGCTTTCTTCAATGTACTGCTGTTTATGATATAACTTAGTAATGGAGGACTTTAGTTCAAAGTGTACTTATAATAAAAAATCAAATTAGTCTTCTCTTTTAGTCATAAATCAAATACATTTTGTCTAATTAGTCTTCTCTTTTAGTTATAAATCAAATACATTTTGTCTAATTAGTCTTCTCTTTTAGTTATAAATCAAATACATTTTTCCCACCAGCTAATCGAATACAACAGCTGCTTAATCAGAGTGCATGTGGAGCACTTTCCAGTGATGACAGTCAGTCAGATGCATTAAACTTGCCAAACCTCAGTCAGGGGCTTAACTCATCTGCAGCATCCACACCATCCACTCACACACCACAGAGACATCTACCGACATCACCGCTTGTAAAATCATCATCTCTTCATTTACCTCAGCCACAGGTGAGATTCAAATTTGACTCGTATAAAGGTTAAAACCAGTGACTGTAAATACCCTTCCATTACTCTGTTCATGAGTCATTCTCCTTAATAAAGGTTAAAACCAGGGACTGTAAATACCCTTCCATTACTCTGTTCATGAGTCATTCTCCTTAATAAAGGTTAAAACCAGTGACTGTAAATACCCTTCCATTACTCTGTTCATGAGTCATTCTCCTTAATAAAGGTTAAAACCAGTGACTGTAAATACCCTTCCATTACTCTGTTCATGAGTCATTCTCCTTAATAAAGGTTAAAACCAGTGACTGTAAATACCCTTCCATTACTCTGTTCATGAGTCATTCTCCTTAATAAAGGTTAAAACCAGTGACTGTAAATACCCTTCCATTACTCTGTTCATGAGTCATTCTCCTTAATAAAGGTTAAAACCAGTGACTGTAAATACCCTTCCATTACTCTGTTCATGAGTCATTCTCCTTAATAAAGGTTAAAACCAGGGACTGTAAATACCCTTCCATTACTCTGTTCATGAGTCATTCTCCTTAATTCTGGCTGGGAAAGGCCTGAAAAGTTTTTTCATAAGTGCTCATAAGCCAACCCAAAAAGTATTAAGACTTAAAAAACTAATCAACATACAGAAAGTGGATATTTCCTTTACTGTGCGTGCAATCACGGCAGTTGAAAATTGAGGACAAAACCTGTGACACAGTTTTGCATGCAGCTTTATTTAGAATTATTTAATTAATAATTAATTTTGTTCATTGTTTTTCTATAATAAAATCAATGCACCTGAAGAGAATTATTTTAAAAATCTATGACCCGCTCATAAGCAGTCAGCCCACCTATTCTCCTGAAATTGAAATTCCATAAAAAGGCTTAATTTTTTTTTTTTTTTCAACAAGTATATACACAGTGCCAGTTTTTCTGGGAAAGTGGATGAACAATGCTTCAAATTATTTATTTGTTTGTTTCAACTGACCTTTGTAAGCAAAATTGTTCCCAAAGAAAACAAGAGAAAATCAATCAATTTGGGGAGCAGCAGATTCCCATATGAGACAAGAGTTGAATTCCCATATGAGACAAGAGTTGAATTCCCCTATGAGACAAGAGTTGAATTCCTGATGAAATATAGTTTTAAAAAGTACTTTTTGTAAATCCTACAGACCTGTTTACTCTTACGATCTTGGCGTAAAATGTACGATTTTGAGGTGTATACACTATATATGCTTATGTTTATTTTTTACTATTAAGATAATGTATTGAACGATTTTGTAATGATATTGTACGATTTTAAGAGTTTGGGGGGTAAACAGGTCTGATCCTAAAACTTTTAAGGATAAAAAACCATGAATATATCAACACCACTCTGCTCTTTTACATCTTCTAAAGATGGATAACATGGCACTTTGGCCAGCAGGACTTTCCTCTCCAGCACATTTCCTCAAGCTGGACTACTTTAGGGTATTTTGAAACATTCATACAAATACTTAAACATTTAATTTGATCACAATTGTCAGTTCATCATCTGTAAAGAGATCTGAAACATTCACAGGCATAGTCATGTTCTGATACAACTTCTTAGAGCCTGGAAATTAAAAAAATAGATAAGAAGTTGTGGTCTTGTCATGAAGAACTTGGTGCTACTTAAAACTACTTTTGAAAATTTGAGTGATGTAAAATAATGTAAACATTTCAAATTCTTAGAATCAGCTGTTATTAAAGTAAATTAAAACATGCTCTCCATAATTTTATGTGTGTACTTCTACATTTTCTGTAGCATATGCCCAGTCCATTGCTCAATGGCACAGCATCAGCCGGCTTGGAACATTCAGAACTCCGCAGACATATGGTAAGTAAATTAATGTTAGAACTTTCACGAACTCCCCAGGCTAATGGTACCGTAAGGGAATCGATTCTGTAATTAATGCACACAAAATGTTCCCACAACAAGTGGTCTCAGCGTCATTTAAAGATATGTTTTCTGTTTCCATTGACAGATGGAACAAGGGTTGTTCATACCAGACAGAAAGAGAAGAGGGAGGAAGAGACGTTCTGAAAAAATGGCAGAGCTGGCCATGGCCGAAGCTTTGGCTAAAAGAGAACAGACAAGGATTTTATCTATGCTTGAACCTGGTGAGTGTTGAATTTATGTTATCTAAGCTTGAACCTGACAGGTATTGAAATTTGTGGTCACCTGGCTGATGAAGGAAGAACAATGAACACTTTTAAAAATTTATTTAAACGTGCTGCAGCGATGTTAGAAAATCATGATTTTTCTCATTGTTTGGCAGACACTCGAATCCCGATGATCAATTTGGAAGACGGCAGCGTTCTGGCCGAGGAGGACTGTCCCAAGAAGCGGGACTTGGACGATTGGATGCAGCAACATCCAGGGTACATGATAGATAACAGCATTTGTCTCCTGGATCCCTACCTGCCTGAAGTTCAGGCTTCCATCTCTTCTGGCAAAGTGGGTGCCGCCGCCAGTGGGGGCTTCCATCCTGGTAGCAACCGAAGTAGTGCTGCTTCAACCTCTCATGGTCTGCCCAGGACGCCTCTGAGCAGCTCCACACCTGGGAAGGCAGGGGAAGAAGATGATGCCAATCAAGTCGTACTCAACACACCTGAAATAGGACCGGTATGGAACTAACTCCACATTTCATTTGTTTTTCCCCCTTGTTTCTGTCACAAGACAAAGGTGCTTATCTTTGGGGAATTTTCTTGTGTTAGGGAATCATCAAAAGAGCCTCATTTTGACCAAAATTTTACAGCCTTAAATAAAGTGATTGGCATTTTTCCATTAAAAATCAAATTTAATCTGCATTGCTTTCAAATGTAACATTTTGTATTTAAATACTCTTTTTAAAATATCTTTTCACAATTTTTAAGCAAATTGCATGAGCTAATATTATAATAATGCAATAGCAGTTCAACTACTCAAAATAAAATATTGTCTTGTAAATTTTTTATTTGAAATGATTGACTGCAGATACTAAGAGTAATACACAGCTTTGCTTTCATTTTATTTCTAAACTTATCACACATGTTAAGTAGAATTAAAAGCTTTGCAGGTTTATTGGAATGCCCTATTTATTATTATCATTAATATGCTGGGTAAAACAAAATCCCTTACTTCTCTTGTCCAATGGTGTGCACAAAAAACAAATGCAGAACTTTTCAAGGGATAAAACTTTTGGGGTGAGAACAGAGTGAATGTTGTTTGTTACTCCTGGAAGGAAAAAATGTTAATTGTGCACATCAGTGGACACAAATCAAAGTTCTAGGAATGTCTTCTCTCTATGCTTATGTACATTGCATCCATAATTTTACCATGTTGGTTGAAACGTTTTGCCACTTTTACCAGATAATTTTTTTCAAATTTCTTACCATTAAAAGTGACTTGCATTTCATGATTTTGTGTAAATCACGGAAAGGATATATTTGAACAAATGTTACCTTTGTAAAAGTGGCAAACATTTGTTTTTGTTAAAAATTTGCTTCTGGTGGAGTCTGTGCTGCCACGTGTTGTCTTGTACACCCAATCATTGCCCCCCTCCCCCCAACATCATGTATCCTTCTGTACGGTCCCTCCATCATCATACCTACACCCCACAGGAAACATTTGTGCGACGCAGGGGCCGCAAGCCTCAGCTGGACCCCCGCACCCTGAACCTGGACCGCCTCACGGGAGAGGAGAACGTTGCCGTTGTAGAAAGGGGATCAGGAAAGAAGGTGAGAGAAGCTCCAAAAGTTCTCTCATTTGTCATTGGCCACAGTCCTAGTCCTCTTTCTTTATCTAACAAACTTCTGGGGCCCTTGTCATTTAACCTCTTAAATAGCATTTTGGACATTAATTTTACCTAATAGAAAAATGACTGAAATCGACCCAGTTGAAGGTGAGTGTGTAGAAAAAGTGTGCGTGGAAAAAATAATTAAATGAATCATCGAATAGTTCTCTGGAATTCTTAGATAATAAATCAAAATATAAACATAAAATGTTAACAGTCGATGTTTTAAAAAATTAACTTTTTTAAAAAGAATAAGACAAATATAAAATATTTTTTGGGTGCCAATGTTGATAGGTAAGTGTAACTATCATCTCATATCTAACCTCCATTGGGTCCCCGCTGCATGTTTTATTTGGGTGGGTTGACCACATGGTCTCTGCTGTCATTTGCATGTGTGTAAGTTCATTCACCTCTTTGTTCTTCTGTCATTAAATAATTTTGACATATTCTAATTTAAAGCTTTTTAACTGCACACAGCTTGTTTTTTTTTTTTCTGTTTCATTTTAAAAATTGAACGTTTTACTGATTGCTTGATAATGAGCTGCTTGTGGCTGGGTCACACTGCTACTCTATTAGTATTAATAGTTATGATGAATATTATAAACCCGCTGAGATATAAACACAGGATTTATTATACTAACAAGAAAGATGGCTTAAATTGACTTCAAGAGTCAAAAGAAGGTTTAATGGTTAACTGTAACTTGAGATGTTTTAATCATGTCCCTCCTTGTATCTAGTAACTTGTTGTTATAAATGTTTCATTTTATTTTTCTATTGTTGAAAACATCAAATAATGAAGTTGTAATATGTTGTGCATTCTTCAACACTATAAAATATTTGAGGTGAGATCATAAACTGGAAGATTGTCAAAGATTTTGGTTTTAATAATTGTTGACACCAGACTTAAAGAATCCATTATTTGTACTAACAAAGTAGGCTCAAGTTTAACTGAGAAAAAAAACAAAAACATTTTGGCCAAATGCCTTCAAATGTTATCACATCGCTGTCATCAGTGAGTATTTGGACAGTGTTGTCATTTTAATCAAAGAACATTTTAAATAGGATCACTTCTTCCTCTATTCAATGACACCTACATTGACAAATGGTAAATCATGAGAAAAACTTGATATGTTATAGCTTCTTCTTCTATATATTAAGGGCCCACGATCAATTTATTGATCATTTTGGCTTCTATGCACGTAGCGGGGATTTGCAAATGGCTGCTCTTTAAGATTCAGTAAATGACAATACAAAGATGAAATATTTGACATAAACAACAGATCCTGTGACAGGATTAAAGTAATTATTTTTAAAAAATTGTTTTGTAAACTACGTCTAGCCAATTTTCTTTTAAGCTCTCAAACTAAAAACTGATCCTCAAAGGGCAAATATTTAGTTTCGGAAGTATTTTACCACCGTCCTCATTATGGTGACTTAAGCCAAAATTTATGATATCATGTTGACGATTGTTACTAAGGACTAATTGGTTCCCTCTGTCCGCACAGATCACAGGTTCTAAGGCTCCACCGCTGAAACACTTGAAAGAATGGCTGGATCAGAATTCTTCATTTGATGTGGAACCAAAATGGGGAGACTTGGTCAGGGCCAAGGTACAATATAACTACTTTAACATTTGTTGTATTATACTGTAGTGGGGGCCAAGATACAATATAACTACTTTAACATTTGTTGTATTATACTGTAGTGGGGGCCAAGGTACAATATAACTACTTAAACATTTGTTGTATTATACTGTAGTGGGGGCTAAGGTACATTATAACTACTTTAACATTTGCTGTATTATACTGTAGTGGGGGCCAAGGTACAATATAACTACTTAAACATTTGTTGTATTATACTGTAGTGGGGGCCAAGGTACAATATAACTACTTAAACATTTGTTGTATTATACTGTAGTGGGGGCTAAGGTACATTATAACTACTTTAACATTTGCTGTATTATACTGTAGTGGGGGCCAAGGTACAATATAACTACTTAAACATTTGTTGTATTATACTGTAGTGGGGGCCAAGGTACAATATAACTACTTAAACATTTGCTGTATTATACTGTAGTGGGGGCCAAGGTACATTATAACTACTTTAACATTTGCTGTATTATACTGTAGTGGGGGCCAAGATACATTATAACTACTTTAACATTTGCAATATTATACTGTAGTGGGGGCCAAGATACAATAAAACTACTTTATCATTTGCTGTATTATACTGTAGTGGGGGCCAAGGTACAATATAACTACTTAAACATTTGTTGTATTATACTGTAGTGGGCGCTAAGGTACATTATAACTACTTTAACATTTGCTGTATTATACTTTAATGGGGTTTCAATATTTTAAAAATACTTGATACACATTAAAAGCTTTTATTTGAAATTTAACACACTAAAAAGATTTGAAGATTTATCATTAGATGATTTATTTGATTACTGCGATCATTCCATGAATGAAATGTTACTCTTCAAAGGAAAAACTGAACAATTTGTTTGATGAAACTTTTTTCTTTTGATTAGACTCACCAACTTTTTTGTGATACCGTTTGAAAAGATGTGTATTATTGTAAATGATATAACAAGGACTATCACTACTATCAGGTAGTGTTCAGGATAGTGTTGGTTCTTTTGCCATTTCTATCTCTCATTAAATGTCTAAATTTGATTTATTCTATTTTCTTTCAGGGCATCCTACCAAAATCAATGGACGGTCGAATCCTGAAACCATCTGGAAGAGGTCGCAAACCCCGTGACTCGCTGCTGCACTCACAGATGATGGCGGGAGAGATGCCTTTTCCCCCAGTTTCATTAGCGGCCCTTTCTGCTTATCAAGGAGCCGCTGGCCTGGTTGGCAGCTTTCCTAAACTGCCCCTGGGCCTACCGTTTGGAGCCATGGCCGGCCTTCCTGGCTTGCCAAATCCTCTGTTGGGACTTCAAGGCCTGGGCCTGCCAGGCATGGGTTTCCCACCCCATTTGGTGAAAGCAATGGAAGATGAACTCAAAGAGAGAGAAAAGGAATTTAAAGAACGAGAGAAAGAGTTTAAGGAAAGAGAAAAAGAATCTGAGAAGGCAAAAGGTGGTAGTAAAGAAGGTGGTGCTGGAGAAAAGAGCAGTAGGGGGAGCAGCAGCACAAAGGATGAGGACGGCAGATTGAAAAAGAGTGAAAGTAAAACAGAGAAATCTTCTTCAGCTACCTCATTATCGTCAGGTTCAAAAAGTTCTTCCGCTGAAACAGCCCATCCATCATTCCCACCGTTTTACTTCAATCCTCTGTTGTACAATCCACTTTTGGCAAATTTCCCATTGCCGGCCTCTTTGGGGGCAATGCTTCCACCTGGACTTGTGCTCCCTCCGCATTCAGCACCCTCACCCGTCAATGGTCAACCAGAGTCCAGCAAAGCCGAACCCTCCAGTAGTAGCAGCAAGCACCACCATTCATCCCAGCATTCACATCACAATCACTCTGATAAAAAGAGGAAACCTCACCATTCTCATTCTGATGTTCCTCGCACCTCCCCTTCCATCCCCCAAGCTCACAATGCTGAAGATCTCTCAGTGAAGAGACACCACACATCCTCTATATCACCTCCATCCCCCTCACTGCAAGCTCAGGACCTCTCATTGAGGAGAAGCAGTGAGGCCAGACCACCGCCTCCTCTATCATCATCACCACCGCCAACGGTCAACCCAACTCAGGAACAGGCCACAGACTTGTCAATGAAAGCAAAGGCTACTGTCAATGACAAATCATCATCTTCATCATCCAGTTACTCATCCAAGACTTTGCCGTCGCCATTAACCTCTTCATCATCATCTTCTTCTTCGTCAGCAGCAAATCTCAAGGTACCAAATAAAAATAAAATTCAAGGTTCCCTCAAGCTGAATAGGATTTTAGATTCTCTGAAAGATCGAGTGTTTAAAAATGATCCAGTGAAAGAGAAATCCTCCAACCCAACAACGGCTGAATCGAATGGTAAAGAGGTGTTGGACAGCAGTAAGAAATCAAGTAACTTGGAGAAACTCCCTAAGGAGTTGCCCACAGACACACCTGAAAGCAATTAGTGGATGTGTTTAGCATACCTAAATAATCATTTGGCTTCTTAAATCTAAACTAGGGCTTCAAACGGTGGGATGAAATGATCGTTTTTTTTAAACACCTATTTTGTTATAATTTTTCTCAAAGTTCATGTCTTGAATTTAGAATGGGCACTTCATAAAATAATTCTATTGACCTCATGCTTTGTTTGTGAAATAAGAAAACACACTGCTTAGGATGGAAAAAGCAATCAATGCTCAACATCTTCTATTAAAATATTGTTTTCCTCTATTTTTTAAAAGGTAATCTTTTTGTATCTTAAGTTGATTTCAAAATCCACTTTAGATTATATATATCCCCCATATATTTTCTTGCCCCCCCCCCCCCCCCCCCCCCCCCCTCACTTGTAAAATTGCCCACAAATTGTACAATTTCCCACAGCCTTGTTATGAGATTAACTAAACCACATTGTGAAGGACTTGACATGAAAATGCCTAGTCAGTGTTCTCTTTATGCCAACTTCCCACATTCTAGTGTCATTTTAAAAAAAAGATTTTTCTTTCCTACCTGTGGCCAATAATGCTTTATGTTTGAGTGAGTCTGGGCAGCATTAGAAGATCAATTTGGACCAAAAAAAAATGTCATCTAACATCAAATAATTTAAACTTTCAAATTTTGCATAATTTAAAAAAAGAAAGATGAAAAAATGAATTGTGGCACATTTATTTACATTTCTGAAACAAAAAGTCAATTTTAATATAACCAATTGTGATCCCCATAAATTTTAGCAGTGGATGATTCATTATATCATGTAAATGTTGAGTGCAGACCACATGATAGGGCTACATCTCTTCTTCTACCCACCTGATAGGGCTACATCTCTTCTTCTACCCACCTGATAGGGCTAATCTCTTCTTCTACCCACCTGATAGGGCTAATCTCTTCTTCTACCCACCTGATAGGGCTAATCTCTTCTTCTACCCACCTGATAGGGCTAATCTCTTCTTCTACCCACCTGATAGGGCTAATCTCTTCTTCTACATTTACATTTGCATGGAATTTTACAAATAGTAGACTTGATACAAATTTACAGGAAGGAGTGGGGTGGGGTTAAGAGATTAAACCACCTGGCCTCAGTCAGACACATTTCGCAGGTCTCTTAAGTTGATTTTTTTGTTGACAATCTTAGCATTGGAAGAAACGGTACTTGACATTGTCATACTAGGTTCTATACACACATTAAACTTAAAATGTTTTATGTGAAGATTTTGTTTAGAGGGTAAAACATTTGGCTTTGAAAGTGTTATTTTATTTGTGCTGTAGGAATTTCTAGTAATGCTGCATGTTCAAGAAAGGTTATTCACTTTTATTTTCCAATGTCATTACTAACTATGGCTCTAAGAGCCAAACAGGTTATGTTCATTTTTCACTAGATCTTCCATCAAGTGCATCTTTCATTTTAAACCATTGCGGAAGATATAACTCAGTGGTCAAGGTACACATGTTTTTTAAACCCATCTTTTAATTTGGAAGCAATCTGTGTCAGAAATCAATATAATTATTTTCAACCAACTGGCCTCATGTATTCATTTTTGTGCAACACTGTTGTTGATAGTTACCCATTGACTCAGGATGAGGATTTTACAGGTTTATGTTAAGTTACTGCACGGACCAGGGGTTCTCAAACTCTGGGGGCAGCATATGTACACCAAAGCCTGTTGTAATAAGACGCAGTGTTATTATGCAGGTGCGTTGCCATCCAGTTACCCTCGTGTTGCCCTTATTGTAGTTGGAACCTCTGGGACAGACTGACTACTCTGTGCAGACGTTTATTTATTTATTTCAAGCACGCTAAGAATACTATTCCCCTTCGAGTAGCCTCTTTATTGTTTGAGAAGAGTGAACACATTCCAGTGTTTTTAAATTAATTTGCACATGTTCATTGTATTTAAAACCTTTAAACACATAGTTGACATACCTCCTGGCAGATTGGATCTCATACTGCTTGAGAAGCCCTGCTTTAGACATCTGAAATTGTTGCTCATTTATTTAACTTAGATTGTGTTGACCTCTTATGTTGCTGTAGGTCTCATGTAAATCCATTATTATTATCCTCACCAAAGGGAATCGTACAGATGAACACGTGACACACACATTTACTTGTTTGAACAATGGATGATTTAAAAAAAATTGAAATACATTTATTTAATGGGAATTTTTTTCCCTTTAAATTTTAATTATTAAATGATTGTATTGGGTTGGAATGAATTCCTCAGTTCTGAATAATGTAATTTTAGTTGGAGACAAAAGGTGAGGTCATAGGTCATGAACTAATCCATTCCTATTCACAAACTTGCCAAGTTTGATCTTTTCAATGAATATAGTGTCATTCTCAGTGTAAACAAACAGAGATAGTTGTCTCTAGTAGCCATCTACATTGAAGTATGTGCTTACACAAACTTATTGGATTAACAGAATTGAACAAAATTAATGAGCAATTTGTTGCCTGAATTTATCATGTCTATTTGTTTTGAATTGAAAATTTAATTCCATATTTCAGTTGTGAAATTTTGCAAGACAAAAATAATGCAGCTGAAATCTGTTGTGAAATCTGTTGTTGTTTTGAAAAGGATCACTTAAATGAAGACTGTGGGTGAAAGATATTTGACAGATGTTGACTGGCCGTGACAAGACTGGCCATGACAAGACTGGCCATGACAAGACTGGCCGTGACAAGACTGGCCGTGACAAGACTGGCCGTGACAAGACTGGCCATGACAAGACTGGCTCACTCATGCTGTTGGAAGGAAATTAAATTATAATCGTTTAGAAACCTATCAAAGAAGGATGAATTTCAAATGAAATGGTTTTTTTTTAAATACAAAATATGATGAAATGATTTTTTAAAGAACACTTGACATAAAGATTTAATTCTGTTGTAATTGATCTAGAATCTAATTGTAAAAAAATAATTTAAAAAATATGAAATTACTAATGTGTAAAATTTGTAATAAATATTGAACCTAGGTTGTGGATGACATTTTCAGAATGCTTGTGATAATCAAGCACCAGTTGAAGAGTTGTCCAAAGATGTGGATTTGTGTTGTTAGAGAAGAGTTTTTTAAGGGGAGGTAGACCAGAGGGTGATAAACTGTAACTATAATTCATGACTTCCTGTCTGATGAAGAACACGTGACATGTTGATGATGCTCATCTGTTGAATACTTGTATGTCTTTTGTCTGGAACTGCAATACAATCATTTATCATTGAGACACTGAGAGCAGCTACATGGCAAGTCTCTGTGTCTATTACACAAGAGGTGGTCCACTCAATTATTTTTGTATCCACAAACCAAACCCCCCCCTCCTCTCTCTCCTGTTTGATAATTCATCTCAGTTCTGGGTGCTACAACTAGACGTCAATTTCAGTAGTCTTTAGTCTCATCCCTCCACCAGTGAGACTGGAATTCTAGGCATGGAACCTTAAACTGTTGACGGCCGTGCTGAACCAACACTACCTTTGTATCAAACATTGTTTTTAATTTATTGTTATAAAGGCATTGTTGAATTTTTGTGTAACCGACTCAGAGAAAATCTGCAGCGCAAAACAAACGTTGGTCCTCTTTCTATTCTATGACAGTACATAATCTCAGGGTTCAAGAATTGATAGCAATGTTGATGTTCTTTTAAATGTAGCTCATTTAATTCTATGTCTTTGTGTGCAAAACTATTTTTGTATCTGTAATGGAATTGGTGTAAATAGTTCTATTTTTTCATGTGATTTATCATGTATTGAACTTGAAAAATAAAAAGTACTTAGTAATTTATACAAACTAATGTTCTCTGTTCCCATGATATCAGTCATATCAAGTCCAGGTGTGGAATCTCTCACTGACCATCACCTGACAATGGCCACGCTGGAACCACCCATTATGTTTACAATGAATTGTCACTCACCTATTTTTTTGTGCATTGAGAGTATCAAAGTTAGTGTAATAAATGTTCATAATAAAACAATGGATCATGTGTTGTGTTATAAAACAATGGATCATGTGTTGTGTTAAAAAACAATGGATCATGTGTTGTGTTATAAAACAATGGATCATGTGTTGTGTTATAAAACAATGGATCATGTGTTGTGTTATAAAACAATGGATCATGTGTTATGTTAAAAAACAATGGATCATGTGTTGTGTTATAAAACAATGGATCATGTGTTGTGTTATATCTTGGTTTCCTTTTGTGCTTACCTCTTGCTGATGTTGCGGTCATTTTCTGGGGGATTAATTGTGATGGTCATTTTTTGAGTGATTAATTGTGGAGGTCACTTTATGGGTGATTAATGGTGGTGGTCATTATTTGGGGGATTAATGGTGGTGGTCACTTTATGGGTGATTAATTGTGCGCACAAACACACATATCATCTTCTCTCTCTCTCTCTCTCTCTCTCCCCACCAAATAAACAAGGCAACACCAGGGTTTGCTAGATGAATTGTTGGCCAACTTGTTCATTGTTTTAGGCATTGATAAAATAATGCTGAAATCTCTTCCATAGTCATCGTAAAACTGTTAGCTATCCGTGTCTGATATGGAAGAACATTAAAAGTAGCTTTAATAGAACTGTCCGAAGCGGTAACTACATTTATCAGTTCTTTACATAGAACTGTCCGTTACTATAACCAGATTTATTAGTGCTTAACATAGAACTGTCCGTAACTGTTAGCACATGATCAGTGCTTTATGATTTTAAGGGATGTGTTTCAAAGCAAGTAAGAAAAGTGCAGTAACATTCGTTACAAATTTAACTGCAGTGTGTTGAGATTCTATGATTCATCATTTTGGCATACAATGTCAAGACACAATCCTCTATGCTATGCCATTGATGCTATGCCATTGATCTATTTTTTTCCAGTTCTAGTATGGGTTCCCACTGCACCCTATCGTACAAGTTAGCAACTACGCAAGTGGGGACTAACGGACAAGTTGACAATGTGAGAACTACATACGAGTTGACAATGAGAGAGGAGGCTAGTATGAGTTGATAATGTGAGAGACTAACGTACCAGATGACAATGAGATAGGGACAAACGTACAAGTTGGCAATGAGAGAAGGGACTAGCATACAAGTTGACAATGAGAGACGGGACTAACATACAAGTTGACAATGAGAGAAGGGACTAGCATACAAGTTGACAATGAGAGAAGGGACTAACATACAAGTTGGCAATGAAAGAAGGGGCTAACATACAAGTTGACAATGAGAGAAGGGACTAACATACAAGTTGGCAATGAAAGAAGGGGCTAACATACAAGTTGACAATGAGAGAAGGGACTAACATACAAGTTGGCAATGAGAGAAGGGACTAACATCCAAGTTGACAATGAGAGAAGGGACTAACATACAAGTTGACAATGAGAGAAGGGACTAACATACAAGTTGACAATGAGAGAAGGGACTAACATACAAGTTGACAATGAGAGAAGGGACTAACGTACAAGTACAAGTTCACAATGAGAGAAGGGACTAGGGGGAGGGAGGTATAGATTAGTTGACGTCAATAATGATGTTCTTTTCAATCAAAATTTTAATCTTAAAAATTGACTTACATTATTTGAAACAATTTAATGAGTGAAAATAGTCATATATGTTTGGGCTTTTAAAAATATGAGTTATTTAATGTCTGTCTGTCTGCACTGCAGATGGTTGGTCAGAATGTTAGCACACTTTGTTAGTGCAAGAGAAGTCAAAAGTTGGCATCTTTTCACCTGTCATTTTTCGCTTAATCCGCTCCCTAGAACTAGAATGATTTATCATTGTACACGGTGTTCAATTTAAATAAAACATTGGTGTTCAATAACAACCATACCAGTCAAAGACAGAGAGAGCTTATGGCAATTATTGCTCACACAAATACTTCTATTTTAAGTGCTGAAGGTTTAGCTAAGGATGATGTTGACTTGTCTGGTATATTAGTTCCGCAAGATGAAAATGATAATTCAGCTACTATAGACTTTATCCATCAGGGGCATCATTTCTTTTTTTTAAATGGGGGGAGGGGGGCTAAACCAACATTTGGTAGTGTTGTTTATTACTAGAGGCGCCACAGTTAGAGGTTGGGATTAAAAATTTTTTTTAAATATTGTTCGGTTGTAAGACAAAATTTGGTATCAAATGAAAGATAATTGAATGGACTAAATGTTTGTAAACTTAATTCTTCAGTTTAACTAAAATAAACTACCACAAATGACATCCGAATAGCATTGAGTCTAAAGGGACCCGGGTCCGAATAGCGGTGATGCATTTCTGGAATTCCAAGATAATCTGGAAAAGTGGCAACCCACATATGCCTTGTGTTTTTAGCAAACATGTATGTACATTTTGATAGCATGCCGATCGCATCATCAAAAAAATCGTAACGCATTCATGTAAAAAAAACTCCAAAAACATCTGCATGTACATTCTCATTTATAAACGCACATCGTCATAATGAACACAAAGAAATTCAAGCACATGTCAATATATTGCCGCCATATTGGTTTTCGTTTATCTCGAGCATAGGTTATCTCGACGCATTTTGGCAAAGCCCGAGGCCGGCGACATAAAAATGGGTTCTACTGTTCCTCTATGGTAGTTTCAAATACTTGTTCAAATTTAATTCTTAGAAAAGAATGTTCGAAATGTTAAACTAAATTTGAGAATTATAAATAATTTAAATACAGAAATGTAAATGACACAGTGCAAGTAATGTTACAAGTTGTTTTAAATTGAATAGGAATGTAAGATCATTGTCACAAGATATATTATTCAATTAAATACAATCAACAATATTTTGAGCTCCGTAATAATTTCTGATGATTTTATAATATTGGGATTTAAAGAAATGAAATTAACCTTAAGATTATTTGAGGCATGTTTATTAATGAAGCACCACCACCTGATAGAGCCTATTATTTACCCAAGCTCACAAAATATTTTCTTCTGATGACCCCCGATAACGCTCTGTCAAATGCCATTACACATTTAAGATGAGGCTTGCCATCTAGTCAAGTTTCTGTACAATTATAAAAAACTAGATCTGACCCATCAAATGATCCAAATTGATGACATGCTGTGTTTCAGATAAGGGAAACCACTACCAATTACTAAATTCAGAATTACTTCCTCTTGTGTGACAGGCAGTACCCGTATCTTTTGTAATTATAGAAAATATCTACATCTCTGGAACACTTAACCATCACACAAATATGAATACATTAAAAATACAATTGGATCCATAACAAAATGTGAACATGAGAACAGATTAAATTCATGATCACCTGAATGATTTCTGAACGTAGAAAGTTGCTTGTGCTTCCCCATCATGAATTTATCACGGTAGAAATACCAAACAATTCATTGATACAATTTTATGAAATCTCCACTGTCAATGTGATAGGGTTGTGATGGAAAAATTTAATATACCACTTAAACACCAATCCTAGTTTCCTGGCTACTGGATGACCCCTGACTCCCCACAAATCTGAGCCTCCAACTCTGTGGTTCATGGCAATCCTTCCTATTTGATACTCTCTACAGCAGCTTGAAACTTCTCCATAAAATGGCTGACACAGGTGAACATAGAGTCCATAGTTTTAGGTGGTTCGCCAAATCGTACCTGTCGGAAGGAAACAAATAGATTTACAACATATGATTATTTATATGCAAGTACATTTAAATCACATTGATTTTGTGTATTAGTTTTAGAAGTGTGTACCAGTATAATAATTTTCTGCAGTTAAAGATTTTTCTAATGTCTTATTCAACAGTACAATTAACAGAAAGATTCTAAGATAAAGAAGCAGCTAAAACAACTGCAATTCCCAGAAACCTGCACACTTCACAGTAAACAAATGGATCATACAATACATCACTAATACTAATACCCCTTTCAAGCACATGTTATAGAATTCATTTTCAATTTTTCTGTTTGTACTGCATGAAACTGGAATAAACTAAATTATTTTTGTTTTGTCCATTCTATTAATGTTAAAGGGAACTTATTACCAGAATTAGTTTGTATTTTTCATTGACTTTAGTGTATCTGGTGTCCAGATGTTCCATATTCCTTTCATACTCAGCTATGGAATTCTGGAGAGACAAAATAAAAAGAATAAAAGCAATTATTACATAAAAAATGCAATTTGTATCTCTTATCAGGAGCTAGAAAATTCATATTATGTATTCTGCATGTTCAAAGTTGGTAAGTTCATTTACTGGGTTTGATCTACATTTTTGTAGTTGCCTTTGTCCCTAACAATCAATTATTATTTGCCTTTGTCCCTAACAATCAATTACTTGTTGCCTTTGTCCCTAACAATCAATTACTATTTGCCTTTGTCCCTAACAATCAATTACTAGTTGCCTTTGTCCCTAACAATCAATTACTAGTTGCCTTTGTCCCTAACAATCAATTACTAGTTGCCTTTGTCCCTAACAATCAATTACTAGAATGATAGCACACCTGCACATCAGCTTGGAATTTTTTCTCAACTTTATTTTCAGCACTGACATGGCTCCTCAATGTCTTCAGTGTTTTCTTGATCTTCTGAAGGGCATTTTTTAATACTGGAAATAGAATTGAGAGCAATATAAATTTGATAATGATAGTGACACATCTGATTGACACTTGACATATAGTACAAAATGGAGGGGCACACAACACATGTTAATGCACTTGTTTACAGAACTTCAGAAACGTTTCACCTAAGCCTAATGAAATGTCACATACCAGTTAGTTAGTTTAATGTAGACCAAAACAACAGATGCACCAGTCATCACAAAGTGTTCAGTTACTTTTTAAATATAATGAAACCTTTTCCCCACTAATATTTACTGACATGAACCCAGCACATACATATGAACCCAGCACAGACATATGAACCCAGCACATGCATATGAACCCAACACATATATACAAACCCAGCACATACATATGAACCCAGCTCGTACATTATGAGCCCAGCTCATAAATATGAATGCAGAAATACTCCATGCCAAATTAATGTAAATTTGTAGCATATTCCATGTGACACACATCTTCCTGATAGTTATGTCTACACTTGAAGAACTGCCCAGCAATGTGTGAATTGCCCCAGTAATGTGTGAATTGCCCCAGTATTGTTAATTTGTTTTCAAATTATGTAAAACACAAACATCAAATAATGCACAAGATTTGAAAATTTATTATGAAGGCAAATAACTTAAAACCTTTTAAGATCATTTTATTAAACATTTTGTCAATATTAACGCAATAGGGTGTCATTTTAATTTTATTTAGTTCTGCCTGTCCCATTTATTTCTATTTACATACTGTACACCTAGTTACCGTCAATCTCTGCACCAACAGCCTTGATGGAGTATCCAGCACATTTAGTCACATGACCCATGCACTTGGGCCAGCCAAGGAGGTGGGGGTCATTTTGCTTCAGCTGTTTGACCAGGTATGTGCACAGCGTAGTCTTATTGTCATGACCTTTGACACTCAAGATCTAGAAGTAGAAATATAAACTTGATTATGGTGACTACAGTTGTTGATATCTGTGGCTTTCATCCATCGGGCCATGGTCAGTTACAAGTCCAAAGAAATTTCTTGCCGGTACTTAAAAAAAAAAGAATTCGTTCTCAACAAATGGTAGATGGCATCCTAGATGATTTAGCAGGGTAGTAATAATATTTAAATTTAATTTTAAGTTATAAAAATTTCAAGACATTCGATCATAATGAGCATTTTCTTAAACCTACTTTTTCAATAGAAGACAGTTGAAATCCTAATGCCCCTTGTTTTGAGTTCCACGATGCATTCATGTAGTTGCCAATGGCCAGGAGGTATTCCATTACAATGGGTAAAGCTGAGCTTGATAAAATCTCATCACATGCCAAGAGTAAATCTTCCACTTCCTAGCATTGTTTGAAGCAAAAACTACAACTTTAAATGACACAAACTGTAAAAAAGGGATCTTTAAAAAAACTGGCTCCTATAAAAGGGTTTCTTACCTGGTATCCCTGTCAAATTTTGGGTAACCAAAATTTCACCTGAAATTTTCCCATCCTGGAAAACCTGGTTACTTGTACCACAGTTCAGTTTTAGAATACCAATGTTTTTGGCTTTTAAATTTCAGTTTGTCAGAGATTTTGCTACAGGCAAGGACTTGTAAAAATTAAATATGTTTAAAAAATGTTCACTTATCAACATTTATTTTGAGCATTATCTTGTATTTGATTGGCAAGCATTATAGGTACAAAAACTGTTGCAATTCAAAAAGTTTTACTAATTTAAGCTTAAAATTAGCTTCACTTGAGTGCAATTATTTCAGTTAATTTCCATTTCAATTTTAGTTAACTTATGTTACATTTTTCAAAGGACATTCCCTTAAAATTACCATTATTTTAATTTTATTGCAATAGCATGTGACTTGAAAAAAAAGCTTTCTTTTAAGAGCTTTTGAACATTTTACCTCCACTAGACTGGTGTGTTGATCAGGCAATTCCCAAATTGTCAGCACTAAATCAAGTCGGTGACTGAGTTGGGGAATTTCACAAAGTTCCAGCATAAATCGATCAGCATTGTGCAAGGTATCTCGTTTATCAGTATAAAGTTTGTACATTTCTTTGTCTTCTGCATTAGGCTGGTATCTAAAAGATGGGATCAATCCTTGACTAAAACTTTTTTTTTGTGTGCTTTTTTCTTTACATTAGGAACATATTTTGTTCAATTGTTAATGTTCAAGTAATAGCTAATGTATAAAAAAAAACTACAATTTCCTTTAAAATTTTTACAAAGTTAATATAATTAGAAGGGTAAAGCATTTCTTCAGCTAACAAAATGAGACAAGTAATTACACAAGTAAATGGAAAGAAGAATTTCAGTGGTGTACACCAGAGCTCCACAAACTGCGTGCCATGGCAAACTGGTGTGCCGTGAGATAATGCCAGGTGTGCTGTGCAAAATGCCTCCAAGAGGAGGAAAAGAAAAGCAACTAATATTTTTATATAGGCACATGACGTAATGATTAACAAGCTTTGTTGATACAATAGAGACATTGGTTAGTCTATAACCAAGCAGTCAAACACTACAATGAAAGAGGTGTGTCCAAGTACAGATAGTTAATATAGAGGGATACAGTATAATCTTTTACCTTTCAGCATTACACCCCATTATGCATGTTAACTTCATTATTTTATTTTAGTTTATTTGGCATGTTTTTATATGTGGTGTGCCATGGAATCATTTGAAATGCCTAGCATGTGTTGCTCATGTGCAAAGGTTGCTGAGCTCTGCTATACACTATAATTATGACAAAGAAAAAAAACCCTAAGAAATATTATACCATTAGAAAGTGTTTAACAGCCAGGCATTCTTCTACTGTGTCTCATTTTAAGATTTGACAAAACTTGTGCTTTATACTTTATGTTTCATTGTTTACAGCTTCATTTTAATCTCTCCCAATTTGATCTGGTTACAAAGTATCAGTAAACTCTTTAAAATTATAGTTACTAAGCATCAATAAACTTTTCATTTCCATCTACAGAGGAACAATAAACCTTTTAAATTATTGATAAAAATTAGCAGTAGACTTTTAACTAAAGTTACACAGTAGAAAGTTAACCTTTTCAGTGTGGTCATCTTGTCGGCCGGGAAAGTGTCAAGTTCTGTGATGGAGTTTAGGGCCTCATTGAGCTTTGCCAAACTTTCAAGTTTCAGACCACAAAATAAGATTCCTAAATTTTGGGCCCTTTTAGCATCCACCAGCATTTGCCTTTCTTCCTTTTTTTCTGGACGGTTTAAGAGAAAAGTAAGCTCACCTGCGTTATCAAACATTTATTTCAAAAGTGACCTACTTTAATCAAAATGTTCTTTATAAAAGTGACCTATTTTTATTAAACTTTTATTTTCAAAAGTGACATATTTTTCAAAGTATACTTTTCAAAAGTGACATATTTTGTATAACTTTTATTTTCAAAACTGACCTATTTTATCAAACTATTATTTTAAAAACTGACCTATTATATCAAATTATTATTTTCAAAACTGACCTATTTTATCAAACTGCTGTTTCAAAACTGACCTATTTTATCAAACTGCTATTTTCAAAACTGACCTACTTTTTAGCAAACTGCTATTTTCAATATTTTGACATTATAAGTGGAAATTTAAATAAATTTTCTCTAACAAAATCATAATCTATTTTTGTAACATTTGTAAGAATGTGAGTTCCTTCTACTACCTATTTGCCATCACTTGAATTGTTGTCTACTTACTGGTTTTGACAACAGCTGGCTTCTTCTCATGAATCGCAAATTGTTCTTCTAATTCAAAGAGGTCAAGTTTTTCGGTCATGTCATGTGCATCACGCCAGATGGAGCCTGAGATCTGAGATTATAAATAAGACAGGACTTGAAATGACTTCGATCAAACATAATGTGTACAATGAAAGCAAAAGTATAAGATGAGTTAATTTAAAATTAAAAACTTCTTGCAACAACAATATTTACCAATATTAAGAAATATGGAAATTGCTCAAGGAATACAACCCTGAAGTTACCAAAAGTTGCTGGAATTACATTTTAAAGTAATAAAAATGCATTGGACTCTGGACAGTATCAGAAGGACAGATCAGACTTTGCACTTTAATTTAAGTTTCAACTTAAGGTTTACATGACATCCTGTACATGGCTAGATTCACAAATCTTATTGATAACATTCATGTTAACTTAGGTGGCACAACCTTAGACAGGTTTACTGTACAGTTAGTGACACAACCTTAGACAAGTTCACTGAAAAATTAGTGACAACCTGACATAAGTTCATTGTTCAGTTAGTGACACAACATTCAATAGGTTCACTGTTCAGTAGGTGACACAACCTTAGACAGCTTCAATGTACAGTAAGTGACACAACCTTAGACAGGCTCACTGTAAATTTAGTGACAACCTTAAATAGGTTCATTGCTCAGTTAGTGACACAACCTTAAACAGTTTCACTGTAAAGTTAGTAATATGACCTAAGACAGGTTCACAAGTATAAATATTGGAGAAATAGCAACAGAGGAAACAATTCTCCTTGAAAACAAACAATGAAAATATCATCTAACCTGATTGTTGTTGACCTTGACCCAGTGAACTTGTTTCAGTTTCACGTTTGGTATCTGGAGTAGTTTAACAGATCCCCGTTCTTTGACTAATGGCGGCGGAGGTGGTGGACCTCCTGGAGGAAGAGGGGGTGGGGCACCTGGTGGATTTCGTGAGTCTTGAGTTGGTGGAAGTGGAGGAGGGGGCAGACCTGAGCTGTTTGTTTTGTTGACATTGGGCAAACTTTTCATTAGTTCACCACCATTGGCTACAATTTGTTCATTTGGATCATTTTCAACATTTGATTGAATGTCAGAAGTTCTCAAGTTTTTTAAATGAAATGCTTTTAGTTTTGTAGAGCTCAGCGTTTTATCTTCTCCATGCCTTTTCTTAAAGTCATTGTGAGCTCTGTATGCTTTTAATGCAGAGGACTTCCCACCCTGCATTGCCAGTTTGGCTCTCAGTTCTGCGGCTGATCCGGTGAAGGGAGTTTCTCCATCCAAAGGGTCATCTCCTGAAGAAGACTGGGTGCTGAGATTCAAGAGCTTGGATGAGGATGCTTTGTGCTCCTTGTGATCTCTGTGGCCGAATGGCAAGAAATGTTCCAACGTGTGATGTAGGCTGTGACTTGTCTTTGGTGGGCTGGGGAGAGCTTTGTCTATGTAGTTCAAGTGAACTGTCACATGAGCAGTGATCTCTCTTGGAGCATATCTGCACATCATTTTTTAGGAAATGTTTTCAATGGAGGATATTTTGAGTATTTAAAATAATTGTCTTGAAATTATTTGGAACACGCACTAAACCAGCCACAAAAACATATTGAACAAAACAGTAGCATAAAGAAGCAACTGGTTAGTTGTTGCTATGATTTGAGCACACAAAATGCCAATACAAGAAATGGCAACACACAAAAATGTCAACAACAAAAATTTCAACATACAAAAATGTCATTACAAAATGTCAACACAAAACATGCCAACAAAAGAAATGTTAACACAAGAAATGTCAACGCTACAGTAAATCATCATATCTTACTTGTCATCTGAAACTTGCAGCCTGTCTTGTGCTGAGGCCTGAGAGTATGAAAATAAATTGTTTGCCTAAATAAATTTGAAAATAAATTTGCCTGACATTCAAGGAATGATTTTCAAGCAATATTAATTGGATATTTCCTTCGTTCATTTCATGCGCACAAGAACTTTTCAAATATAAAGTAACATGCAAAAATATCTTATTTAAGTTTAAAATTTAGTCATTAAAAATATTATTTCATAATTCTTCCCTATTTTTAAATGATGTATTGCTTCTAAAATATCTAGTTTATCTTACAGCCATGTCAGGTGTCAGATCATAAATATGTTCTGGATCGTCAGTGTTGTTATGGCTGTTACTCTCGGTGTCCTTATTGTTACCAGAAGCCTCAAACAGCTTGGCCGTCGGTGGCACATAATTGAGAGCTCTTTCAAATGCCTGCAATTAAAAATTTTTAAAAATTAAACATTTTCCAAGGATTTAAAATCTTTCCATGATTTATGTATTTTTCAATATTATGATAAACTTATAATTTCATAAATATTGATTTACTGTTATTAGTAAATGAATATTGCTACATACATGGCTGCATTTATTATTCATAAATAGAAGAGATTTTTTAAAATGTATCTTTTGTTTATTTCACTGGTACCATCATTTATTTTATTGGTCCATCATTTCTTTTACTGGTATCATCATTTATTTTATTGGTAGCATCATTTATTTTACTGGTACCATCATTTATTTTACTTGTAATTTACAAAAAATAGTGACATACCAGAAACCATTCATTTCTTACAATTTCTGTCATGTTAATTGCCTTGTAATCACTCAGCACTCGAAAACTAGAAATATGAAACAAAATCAAATTTGAACATTTATTGTAAAGATTAATTGCTGGTCTGTAATTAAAATAAATTGAAGGTGGCGCGGGGTTGGGGGGGGGGGGGGGGGGGGGTGGTATTGAGACTATGCATTATTATTTTATGTTTATAACATGTACACCCTGCCAGTCATACTTGAACACCCTGCCAATCTTACTTGTACACCCTGCCAATCTTACTTTTACACCCTAACAATCTTACTTGTACACCCTAACAATCTTACTTGTACACACTAACAATCTTACTTGTACACACTAACAATCTTACTTGTACACCCTAAAAATCTTACTTGTACGCCCTAACAATCTTACTTGTACACCCTAACAAATCTTACTTGTACACCCTAAAAATCTTACTTGTACACCTTAACAATCTTACTTGTACACCCTGTCTCTGACAGCCACACTGAAGCCATTGAGTCCATGCTTCTTTAGAGCTGTGTGGTCAGGCCACAACTGTACAATGTTTAAGGCAAGCTGGAGATTATAAGATTACAAAATGATTACATAATTTAATTGGAGCCGAAGCAGGTTCATTTCTCAACTCTCCATTTTTTTATAAGTCATTTAAGTTTAAAATAATGATTTGCTTAACACAGTGGTCGTCAAATCGTGGCTCGCGCGCTGCATGTGGCTCTTCAGCGACCTGAGTGCGGCTCAGCCAGCCTGTGACAAATTGCTTTTGACTCCGAAATATATGGTTCTCGACAGGCTCTTGAAAAGATATTTGGCACTCGAGAATTTTATAGTTGTCCAGCTGCTGATTTTTGGCTTTTTTTACTAATTAGTTTGCCAACCACTGGCTTAACATAAGGCCACTGAAACTTTTAGAGCATGGGTGAAAGTAGTGTGACGTGAGATAAACTGGTAGTCCTCATATGTGGTGATTGAGTTTTGTGCCAGTTCTGCCTGAACTGAAATAAATTTCATAAAACTGGAGTTGTCACAGAGAGCCAGAATTGTTTTTGGATCAAACGTGTTGTCAAATATCACAAATGACAGTCTCTAATTCATTTAAGGCCAAAGTGTTTTTGTAGAACTTTTTCTATTATTCAATTTACTCACACCCTCTATAATGTAATTTACTTAAATACACTATAATGTAATTTACTTACATCCTCTCCAGGTTTATAATATGTAAATTCCCCCGGAGTTAGCTTTATTCTTCGCCTGTTTAGAAAAAATAAATAAATACAGATTAACCACACATAATCTTATCTGTAAAAAAATAATTTGTTAAACCATATATAATCTTGTAGATTAGGTTCTCCTTGTCACAGACTCCCCCCCCAACTGTCCCACACCAGTGGTCCATAGTTAAAAAAAGGTTAAGAACCCATGTTGTAGATAAACATGGATGACTTTGAAAATAGCACATTTAAAACTCTAGAGGCTGAGTTCACAGATGATTTCTTGAGTTAACATGTAATAAACTAATTGTTATGATGCTTGTAGTAGAAGCTCTACCAACTTGTTCCACAATGTGATGGCCGTGTTTCCTTTCTTCTCCAGCAATCCATCCTTTATGATATCTGCACCTTCCAGATGATGATCACCCAGAGATGAAAGTCCTTGTCCTGAATCAATACCTGAAGATGAGAATAGCATATACACCGTAGTTGAAATAGTGGTTTAAATTGTTTCAAAAGAATTATATTTTTTATTGCAGCATGAGTGTAAACATTTTTTCTGTCCATATTCTTTTCCCTTCTGATATGGTAGATAAATTGTATATATTGGCAACAATGAAATATCATTTATTAGTTAGATAGATGTAAATGATATTTTCTAAAAATATCATCTCCCTTTTTTCTGTTCAAAAGTTTTTCAATTTATTAAAACTAATAAACTGCAACCTTTTGGTATAAAGATGTGTGACCTTATTTATTTCTTGTAATTTCCCATTACCAAATATTCATAACATTTATTTGAATTCCAGTCATCCAGTCAGTGTCTAAGGGTCCAAAAATACTAGACATACTATCATCATCTTCTCCATGCCCCATCTGTATCACGAGACCCATCAAACGACAGATGGTGTACTTTTCTTCACTGTTGTCTGTCTCAAAGTCAAACTCACACTCTCTGAATTTGAGGGCAACGTGTAAACCCTCCTGGATAAAATTAGAAAATCAAATTGAAATAAAACATTCCTTTATATTAAAATAATAATGTGATCATGTGAATGCAAATTTATTAATACGTTAACAATAAAACTTAAATAAATATAAAACTTAAATTAAATGATCATAATTGTTAAGTTTAAAAAAATTACTTTGTAAAACTATCACTATCAATACTATTTAATTAGACTACACACAGAGGCCTAAAACCAAACAGAATGAAATGTTACAAACTTCTGAATCATAATGCTCCAATGTGTCAAAGTTGTGACTTTTCTTGATGTGACCTTTCTGTATAATTAGAAGCACTCGGCCAGGGAAGTCCAACTAAAGTTAAAAAAATAAAGACAATTTATTATTTGGAAAACAATTAAATAAAGATGTAAGTCATAATTTATTGAGACTCAAGACTGTTCGGACATTTTAAAAATAATAAATAAACTCTAAGTAGAAGATACAATTTCTCTGTAAAGATGTGTACATTGAATCTTGTCACACACACAAAGATTTTGTTAAGGTTTGCTCCATATAATAAAGCTTGTTACGTGTGTGATGAGTAAACTATTTACACAAATTATAATTGGTATAAATAAATGACTTCTTTTTTATTATTTAAAGATGCACTAACCTGAAGAATGCATCGCTTCCCTCCCTTTTTATATATTCCAAAGTTGTGTACCCTGTTCCAAATCTGTGTACCCATGATAATGAACAGTGGTTCGTCTGAAATTATCCAAACAAATCTTGCTTGTTAATAAAACAAAAATGTATACCTAAGCCATCCTGGCACAAGGAGATGACTAGATTTTAAAAAATTTAAATGTAAAATACAAACACACCAGCATTTAATAATTTGTTCTCTTTAGTTTTTAAACCACGCTTTTACTTCCCAACATTGTAACTTCATGTTTAGGTATCTCACCTTGAGCCCTTCAAAGAGGTACACGCTTTAAAAAAATTAAAATTCTACACGCTGCCATTGGAATTTAAAAAAATCGTATTGTATTTAATTATCAACATTAAACAATGTTCGATGAGTGCTACAATAAGTTATATAATTTCTAAGAGCAAGGTCAAGGGTGCCAATGTTTCAAATGTTTTGTTGACTTGAGTCACCTTTTATTTCCCGACGCGTATCCCAAATAGTAGATCCACTACGATGATAATGCTAATTTAAGAAAATATGAGAATTACACAAAGACATAATTACAATAGGGATTTCAAGTTTAGAGTTCAAGTTAAATATGTAATAATTAATCGATTTTCTAATAGGTGCAATCCTAATATTTACTTCTTGACAAATACTCTTGACGAATGACTTTTAATGTTCAATTTATGATTCTGTGGTGCATCAAATCACTAGGAACATGTTCATCAAATCTCTAGGAACATGTGCTCAAATCTCTAGGAACATGTGCATCAAATATCTAGGAACATGTGCGTCAAATCTCTAGGAACATGTGCATCAAATCTCTAGGAACATGTGCGTCAAATCTCTAGGAACATGTGCGTCAAATCTCTAGGAACATGTGCGTCAAATCTCTAGGAACATGTGCGTCAAATCTCTAGGAACATGTGCATCAAATCTCTAGGAACATGTGCGTCAAATCTCTAGGAACATGTGCGTCAAATCTCTAGGAACATGTGCGTCCATTTTATAACCCTTCCTTCGTGGTATTATTATGCTTATATTTTGGTTTTTTGGTTGGATCATTCAAAATGTTTATTCCTGAAAATCTCGTCTTTGGTTCCAGGGATTGCAATCATAAATCTTGAGCACATTCGGGGGAAAATAGAACCAGTGAGGCGAACAGTGTCTTCTGCAGTGGCGTTCCATGAGCGGGGGCCAGTTGAGGCAGAAGGCTGACTTGGTCCGCAGTGCCGTCTTAACAGCAATGGGGGCCCTGGGCAATACTTTGCGGCACCCTTTCCTCTCTAAACTCCGCCAAGGCCAGTCTCAAGGGCGGATGCAAAAGGAGGAGGGTTAGCGTGAGGCCAGCTACCTCACTCGTAAAAACCAAATGCTACTGAAATGCCAACAAGACAAAAAACAACAAATTTCAGCGCTGAGAAGAGAGGGTGCTTCTTCTTGAAGAAGAGATATGAAGCCTTGCGGCCAAACCGAGGCTTTATATACTGGAAGCCTAAAAGCCGACACCCTCCTTTCTAAGAAAACAAACGTAGGCACGTGGAACGTCAGAACAATTCATGAAACAAGGAAAGCTGCACAAGTCGTGGCAGAAATGAGAACTTACAAACTCAAACTGCTTGGCGTCACACTGCTTGGCGTCACACTGCTTGGCATCTGTGAAACAAGATTACAAACTCAAACTGCTTGGCGTCTGTGAAACAAGATTACAAACTCAAACTGCTTGGCGTCTGTGAAACAAGATGGATACAAGCTGGAAGCTAACTTTGGCCTCTGGAGAAATGCTAATATACTCGGGGCATGAGGAGGCAAAGAATCAAAAGATTGGAAAGAAGGATACCCCATCAAGGTACCAAAGAAAGGCGATCTCAGCAATTGTGCAAATAACGGAGGAATTACACTGCTGTCTGTACCAGGAAAGATCTTTAACAGAAATATTTCACTATTCATCCTCGCCATTGACTGGGTAATGAAGAAATCCACAGACAAAAAGAGAACTAGGATACAGTGGACACTCTGGAAACAACTGAATGACCTAGACTTTGCAAACGACATTGCACTTCTGTCCCATAACCAGCAACAAATGCAGGAAAAGACAAAAGACGTAGCCACCATTTCACAACAGCTCGGACTCAATATAAATAAAAGTAAGACAAAGATCATGAAGGTCAACACAGCCAACCAACCTTCACACACTTAGAGGCAGCACCATCGACATAAACGGCGGATCCGAAGCGGATGTAAGGGCCAGAAATGGAAAAGCTAGATCAGCATTTGAGCTATTAAAGAAAATATTGGAGTTGAAGGAGCTGAAGCTGCAAACCAAAGTCATAATCTTTAACACCAAGGCCAAAACAGTCCTACTATATGGAGCAGAAACTTGGAAAACAACAGCGACCATTACTCAGAAAGTGCAGACCTTCATAAAAACATACATTAGAAAGATCCTGAACATCAAATGGCCAAATGCCGTCACCAAACAAAGATTTACTGGAAAGGACATACCAGATACCCATTGATGAAGACATCATAAAGAAAAGATGGAGTTGGATAAGGCATACTCTCCGAAAACCCCCAGATAGCATCACCAGACAATCCCTAAAAGGGAATCCACACGGAAAAAGAAAGTGAGGAAGGTCAAAGAATACACGGAGACGCGCGCTAGATGCAGACACGCAAAGTATGGGATACATCTCGAAGCAACTCGAAAGGAAAGCTCGGGGCCGTGATGATTGGAAAATTCTTGTAGCCGACCTAAGCCTCAGGCGGGGTAAAAAGGCTTAAGAAGAAAAAGAAGATTCCTCTCTAATCTATAAATAGCCTATTCAGGTAATGTTAGGAAAAGCATTTGTGGCAGAGGTTGGCCCATACGTCTAGTGTTTCTTTGGCCCATACGTCTAGTGTTTCTTTGGCCCATACGTCCAGTGTTTCTTTGGCCCATACGTCCAGTGTTTCTTTGGCCCATACGTCCAGTGTTTCTTTGGCCCATACGTCCAGTGTTTCTTTGGCCCTTACGTCCAGTGTTTCTTTCAAAGAATTTCATCCGGAGGTGTGGGGCATTTCAGGCGTGCGTGGGTCAGGGTGTGTGTGGGTCAGGGTGTGTGTGTGTCAGGGTGTGTGTGGGTCAGGGTGTGCGTGGGTCAGGGTGTGTGTGTGTGTGGAGGGGGGGGGGGCTGGGTATCTTTCAGCGTCAAAATGAGGCTACAGTTTTCCCCATGGCCAGCTCTAACGCAATCGCCCTGTCATACATAAAGATTCCATTCATTCGTGTTGTGGCGTCCCCTGAGAGCATGTTTTTTTCCCCAGCTTAGTTTCGCCCCTGGAATCTATCTACTCCAACTGTATTTATACCAAACTAATGTAAATTCATATTTTTGTAAGTAAAGTACCGGTATTGTCCCTTTGATCGGGGAAGGTTCCTGAACGAATCTGGGGGGTGTGTTTGTGGAGTGGGCTCATTGAACCACGTGACTCCCCGGTAAAATTTTGATAAATTCATTTGCTGCCCTCTGGGATACTACTTCTAAGCTAAGTGCTATTTTTTAAATTTTAATTTTATTCTGTTTTTTTCTCTTGTTTCGTTCGCTGACGAAGGCTTCCTGCCGACACGTTCGTTGTTTTGTTGCGTTCCTTTTTCAGGTTTAACCTTGCTTTGTTTTACCCATTTCATACTGCGCTAACCCAATTGCAGTCTCTCCCTTTATTACCCTTATTTAGTGATCTTTGTTGCTTTATGACTTTGTGCTTAAGGATTACGATTAAATTTTTGCATTCATTTAAATATGTCCCAGTTTTACAGATACAAAAATGAGAACAAATATTGTTTTGATGTAAAGGTCTTTAGATTTTTTTTTATGGCTAGTTAAAACAGGTCATTAAAAAAATGTAGGCTATATTATTATAAAAGGCATAATTATGTTAAGAAGATAATAGACATTGACAGAAGGCATCATATATTTATTAATGTGTTATTTATCAAGGGAAGTTGAAGCGGTATAAATTTCCCTCAAATGTAGTAAATTGAAAGGTTTACTTTGGACTTTCAAGCTACTACAATTTTCCTCAGACAAATTACTAACCAATATGGCACCAATTGTAAAATAACGTCATTTAGTTTAACACCCACCCCCCCCCCCTTTTTTTTTTCTCAGCGGACAAGAAAAAAAAATCAGGTGTTATTTATGTTATAGGCGGATTTTTCTAAAACAGGGACCAAACAAAGCCGGCACCGTTGTTTCACTTTGAGCACGCGTGGAGATACGACTAACCACACGTGGAGATAAGACTAACCACACATGGAGATATTCGATTAAAAATATCTCAGCAAGTTTTAATTAATTTAACAAATATTGTTTGTTTAGGCGCCGTCTTCAGGCTTAAACAACAACAACAACCTGACAGCTCCGCTTTAACGCCGATGTGCCATGAAGACTGGCCCTACAATGGTATGATGACCACGCCAATCAAATACCATGATTCATACAACTACAGTAACTACTACAATAGGAAATGCCGTGATTCTAACTACAAGTATAATATGGCCTACCATGATTATAACTACAATAGAAATATTATTTTACCTCCTAATCCAGTAAAGCTAGTCCATCCATTGCTGTGTGGGAGATTCAATCCAACTCTAGTCCCCCATGCATTCAATAAACCAGCACATCAATTTAATATTTCACTGCAAATTAATTAAAATCAGTGTCAAACTTCTAAGGGAGGTAATGATATGACGCGAGTTCAAAGTGATCTGAAGGTGGGCAACAAGTGGTTCTCAAACTTTGGAGGGTGAAAATGTCATGGAATAGCCTTTAAACTCTTGAGATGGACATGAACTATATGTTGGCATCACATAATTCTTATACATATTGTTTTCATATGCATAACTCACGAGCCACGTGTCTCGCACGGTCCTGTGACCTCTAGTCTTAAAATGTCGTGGACCATTGGACAACGGCCAATCCATCAAACCGACAGGTCATCGAATGTGCCTCGGGGTATGACATTCTGTGGCAAAGAGGAATCTACCAGATGATAGTAAGCGGGGTGTTGATGACGTGGGTAGGTATGCGCCACCTGACGGACGTCTTCAACAGCTGCTCGCAAATACAGTGGAGTAGCTAGGGTAAGTGCGGCCTGGGGCAGCCCAATATTTTTTGCAGCCCCCGTCCTTGAAAAAAAAAAATCCAGTTGGCCAAAAAATGCCGTTCCTCCAAATAAAGAAAAAAGTGCGCCCGGGGCGGACCGACCTCCACATCCCCTTCCTACGCCATTGCGCCAAGGTGTGAATAGTGGCGTCAAAATACATTCATTCATATTGATTCTATGCCAACAACAACAAAAGGTGGGAGGGGGGGGGGAGGGAAACTCTGCAGAGTTGTCCTCTTTTCACATCTCAATGAAAACGAATTTTGATTGGATCCAAGATTATAGTGACTCAACTCTCAAAAAGGATGACGTCATTGAACTACTTCATGATCTCGATTGTCTACCCCAGGAAGACCCTTTCATGACGTCAGACGTCACAGCTGTATCCTCCGCTGACGTAGGCTACTTACATTCTGTGCTTGTTTGAGAAAATATGTGGTAGAGCATAGATGATGTAGAACACATTAATCTAATTATGACTTAAATGTATGGGAGAGTCAGTCATTGCCAGGCAACAAACCAGTACTGTTAAAGTACATGTATACACCATGGCCTACCGGTGACATCATCAGCTGTATAAAAAAAGGGGGTGTGGGTGGGTGTGGGGGAGTTGTCAGCAAAAGCCTCAGAGAAGAGGGGAAGGGTCTGATTGTAAGAAGAAAGGAGGGCAAAGATTGGGTATGAAAATGTTCAGAAGAGTTATAATGTTCTCATGAGAACTGCTAGTGTTCACATAAGAAGTGCTAGTGTTCACATAATGAGTGCTAGTGTTCACATGAGAAGTGCTAGTGTTCACATAATGAGTGCTAGTGTTCACTTAATGAGGGATAGTGTTCACATGAGAAGTGCTAGTGTTCACATAATGAGGGCTAGTGTTCACATGAGAAGTGCTAGTGTTCACATAATGAGTGCTAGTGTTCACATGAGAAGTGCTAGTGTTCACATAATGAGGGCTAGTGTTCACATGAGAAGTGCTAGTGTTCACATTATGAGTGCTAGTGTTCACATGAGAAGTGCTTGTGTTCACATAATGAGTGGTAGTGTTCACAAGAGTGTTGGCATTCACATGAGGGCTAGTGTTCACATGAGAAGTGCTAAAGTTCATAAGAGTGCTGGTGTGCACATGAGACCTAGTATTTACAAAGCTGCATGAAGAAATGAAACTTTCTTGTTCCTTTATTAAAATAATCCTGATGCTGTTGACCATCTGATAGTAAAGTCTGTTATGACACCATTGATCAAATGTACTTCATTGATCATATGTGCTAGTAAAATCTGTTATGACACCATTGATCAAATGTACTTCATTGATCAAATGTACTTCATTGATCAAATGTACTTCTGTAAAACTGGCAAACATAGAAGACAATTTAAAGTGAAAAGTACAAAGAAAGTAATTAATATCAAGACAGTTGAAGTATGTCAACCTTTTATTGATACAAAAAAATAATGTACTATTATGTTGGACTGTGAAAAAAATTATATAACTTGAGCGCACTGGCTTTTCCTAAAACAGCAGCCAATTCCTGGAAATAAAAGAAATGTAAAACAATATTTGAATCATTAAAAAAGGGTGTAATTCATTTTTAAATCGTTCTCCACTTAAACATTACTTCATCAATAGTTAAAATGAGAAAATATACAAAAATAAAAGAGTGAACAAATTATATTAAAGCATAAAAAAAAATTATTAAAAATAAGATATTTCTTGTTTTCTTTCCTTTATAGTTTAATAACATTTGTAAAGTTATATCCCTTGACAACAAAAAAAAGCATTACAAAAAATGAGTGCAAATACTTTGAAAAAAAAAATCAGTAAAATATTTTACAAATCTTTTAATATAATTGATATTTTATAAAAGTTCTAAGAAAAAAAAACTTAGCTCATTAATATTTAAAAAAAAAAATGTCTCTTACTTGTTGTGTAGCTTGACATATAACATGTATGCCTGAAATTTAAAAAAATGAAATAATTATAAGAAAGTAACTTAACTTTTAAAATAATAAAACAAATTTTAAAAAAGTAAAGAAACTACTGCTATCACAAGGCACAGATCACAATCAATACATTCACAAGAAATTCATAAAACCTGGTCCTAACAATCAGAGAAAAATCATAAGATCTGGTCCTTCCAATCACTCATTCAAACTAGCAGTTGATTTGTTTAACTATTATGGTATCCCAATCTGAAAAATTTGACCCACTTTTTCCTGAAGTATGAGCAAGTAAAGCACAGAGCAAGTGAAAACTGGAAATACTACTTCTCATTCTGATACCTTGTGCTCTATGTAACCTATATCAGCTTGACTGAAGTCTACTTACATTTTATTCATCACATCAACACATTCAATTATGACACTATTTGAAGTACAATTAATTTAAATAAATTAACCAAAAACAGCAGCACATTCCTACATCACTGTTTTCACTTTTACTCACTGGGAAATTTCTCTAACAAAGCAGTGGCCTTGGCCTTGCCCAAACCTGGACAAGATGTCAGTGCTGCCAATACTGCGGGATCTCTTTTAGGCAAAGGTAACTGCTTCTGGAAAGGATTTCTGTCTAGACGGCTTGTGACGTACACCTGGGATTTAATACATGCCAAAGACCACATCAGCTCATTTTTGTGATTTTCAGGATAAATTGTGGTGTTGAAATATTCAGGTAGCATAAAGATAGTTGCTTCATTTTAATTTAGGAACAATGTGAATAAATTCCTATAAATAATTACTTGGTAAATTGAGAATTTAGAAGAGAAGTCCTTGAAAAAAATTATAATGTTATCTAGTGCACTGCCACCAAGGTATCAGTGAAACAAGATGACCTCATAATGATAAAACAAAGCAAGAAGTCTCATGAGTGAGCCCATTATTACAAGAACTAGAAGTGCACATCCTAACCATTAAAATCACAAGGCTCATGAAGGGAAGTGCACATCCTAACCAATAAAATCACAAGGCTAATGAAGGGAAGTGCACATCCTAACCATTAAAATCACAAGGCTAATGAAGGGAAGTGCACATCCTAACCATTAAAATCACAAGGCTAATGAAGGGAAGTGCACATCCTGACCATTAAAATCACAAGGCTAATGAAGAGAAGAGCACATCCTGACCATTAAAATCACAAGGCTAATGAAGAGAAGTGCACATCCTGGCCATTAAAATCACAAGGCTAATGAAGAGAAGTGCACGGAAGACACAGAGAAGTGACCTTGACAGAAAATCTGACAGAATCTGATGAGAGAGGAACATAATGAGTAGGAAAGATTTCCTCAGAACAAGGATAAAGGGAGATGATGCATAACTTGGAGGAGACAAAGGAAATGAGAATAAAACAATGTTAAAAGATATCAAGAATGGAAGACAGATAATGCTTTACCAGTTGTACCAGAAAGCCTGCCGCCTCTGCCTGGGTATTAACAGGGATGAGGTCCAGTCCAAGGTCACTGACACAGAACTTCTGGATTTCTGGAAAATATTGGCTGCAGGAGACTGTCTTCTCTACCACTACAATACCATGAACCTTGCTGGCCTTTGTTTGATAGAAGGAAAAAGAACATTCTGGTCAAACTACATCTGAAACATTTTTTCATTTACTATAATTATATATTACTGTCATTCTTAGAACATTAAGTACTGGTATGAATGTGTTATTTTATGCACTCAAAAGGGAGCTAACTTGCATATTATCATGGCTCTTTGCACTCATAAATAATAATCTTATGTTTTTATTTCCATCCTATGTCATGTAGTCAATTCAAATACAATCACATTTTTAGTAAGAATGTAATAGAAGACAGTGGGGCCAATATGAACGCCCCATGTGAACAACAGTTTTTTAAAAAATATATATTATCCTAGGACACAATCAGAAATCCTGTAAAAATAGTCCAAAGGCAACACAACATAACTCACTAACCATTTTTTTTTAAATCCTATATTCCTACTTTAAAAAAAAATTCCAAAGTTATGCACAAGCAAATCCAGGAAAAGACTATGCTAATAGCAAGATCTGATTATATCAGGGTATTTTCTATGGTGGAACAATGACTTTTCTTGATTATCTGAAGCTATCCGCACTTAGCTTTCTACTCATAAGAAAATTGTATCTCACCACATCTCCTCATAAGCCAGTTTTCAGGTTTATAATATATAAAGGAATTAAAGGTATTATCTCTCTTTTAACAATGACACATAATAAGGCCTCCAGAGGTCTAGACATTGAAAATAAAGATTTTAATAGATACTAAATATTTTCATCCTCTTAAGAATATAACAATCAAATAGTTGAATATAGTAGGTAGCCATTGAGTATTTGTTTGAATTTTCTTCAGTTCATTTGTTAATCTGAGTACATTTAATTATATAACATACTTTTCTTAGCCTTGCAACTTTTCTTTTGAAAGCACATCCTTCAACTATTTCTGCCTCAGAGATGTAAACAACACCAGTGTTGCAAGAAGGATAGAAGTCTATAGCACTTGTTGAACTTTCAAACTGGACAGGTATTGATGCTGGAATTACATTGGTCAACTGATTAAACTGTTTGGTGCTAAGTGAAACTTAAAGTTGTTAACAGAAGATACTAATGTGTGAAACATCTTAATAGAGACTTTGGATATACTCATTGCTAACTGTGAAAGGTGAAACTAAGTTAGAAATAAGATAGTAAACTTTGTTTGTCACCAAACACCACAAGGTAGCCAAACAGAATACTCTTAGGAGTCAGCTTCAAGTATGATAACCTAACTTACCCTAAAAAAAGCAAATTCAAAATCGGGTGGTTAAACCAAGATAAAAGGCTTGCCAACACTTCATGGGGTATTGATAAAAACCACACAATGTGGTTTTGGAACACCAGAGCTCTGATGTCTTCCCCACATTTTTTATGCTGGGCTTTCTGTGGCTTATTATTAATTCTCCCACTCCACAGATCAGATTAATCATTTAAGAGGGAGATCTGTCATCCCTTGAATCAGCTTGATCATGTCATATACATTTTAATGATGAAAGAGCTGTATAGACTCCTCATATGCTGCTTTGGAGCCGCAGGTTGCTGAACTGACCACTGGGCTATTAAAATAGCACTGGTTTGGTTTACAAGTTACCAAGCTGGACTAGTTGCTGGATATTGTATTATTATTTGAAACCTTTAGAAATTTAGTATGCAGTAGGCTTGAGTAGGTCATGGGCCCTTTGACTTGGATATTTCTGACAGTTTCTAACTCTCCTTAATTATGGCTTACGGATAATACGGACTTGCAGACGACAACAATTTAAACATAATACAAATACTGTATAATGTATAAATAATCATATAATAATGTATAGTAGTCGCATGTGATTATAGTGTATAGTCTATACCTAGTTTAAGTAATAAATAAGCATGGTATTATTAGTATTAGTATGACAGTATGTAGTATTGTTTATTGTTTTAACTCTTACCGTGCCAAACAACGATATATCGTCGATTTAACTCGTCATAGTCGATAAATCGTCAAAATAATTTATATAATTATTTTATTGCGTGACTTCTTGTTCTTAAATGAAAGATAACTCTTTCTACTTCCTTCCTGTTAAAAGTAGAGCTTGTTAACAAGTGTTTTTTCTAATGATAGTTCAATTTGTGGTGAAAATTTTGCAAACAAAGCAATGACCACGCCTACTCCAAACACATCAGGGGTTACCAGACCAAATAGGTTGTCAAGTTTGCAGGCACAAGAGCTTTTATTGCAAATTATTGATGCTAAAACAGTGGTTCTTAACATGGGTTCAATCGAACCCCAGGGCTTAGTGAGTCAGTCTCAGGGCTTCGGCGGAGGTCCAATAATCTGAAAATTTTTTAAATTTTATTTTTCCTAATAAGAAGGGTTCGGTGAATGCGCATAAGAAACTGGTGGGTTAAGTACCTCCAACAAGGTTAAGAACCACTGTGCTAAACATCGGACAATAATAATGAATCATTTGAATTTAAATTCAAGTGATGATTTTCAGCTTTCTGATGGGCTGATGGGTCAGTAAATGGCCAATGGAAATAGAGGAGATAATATTAATAGTAGTACTAATAGTGGTGACAGTCAGCACTTAAGTAAAAAATTTCAAAAAATTTGTAAAAATATAAAAATACCACTTTGTTACTATGGCAACAGTAGGGATTCAGATAATACTACTTCAAACGTTACACAAATGTGTATAACTCTGTCACTAAATAGAATTGTGTATAACTCTGTCACTAAATGGAATATTTTTAAAATGTAAAATGCATTCTGATCCAAAATGCATTCTGAGGATTAAAGCAGAATAGGATACCAGTTACACAGACCATATGGTAGTCTTGTAAGTTCAGATGTGATCTCACAATATTATTTAATTAGTAAAATTTAAACTATTGTTGTCATATTGTTTTATCTGATACTACATATTATTATTCTATGTCTAATTTCCGGTAATTAATTTCCTATTATATGATATGAAATCTATCTTGCAAAAAAATGTATTCAAAATTAATCAATAGATATGAATATTAGCACCCCAAAAAATTTCTATTGGCCGAAAACTGGTCAGGCACAAACGACCGTGGAACACCCACTCTACACCCCTCCCCGCCCCCCATGGAAAGACTAAGGCAATCCTCCGAAGTCCGGTCCCAAATTATTTTGTATGAAAAAAAACTGCAATGCACAGTGTGTATTGTTAGAAAACAGCAGAAATGTCAGTCATAGCTTTTGCAAATAACTGAAACTTTACAAACCAGTCAGTAAATACTAAATGTTGTCATTGGCACATAGCATTTGCAAATACCAGCCGAAAACATTCTGCTGGTGACTGTTGTGCCACTGAAAGGCCCCCAAGTAGCTGGCAAACAGATCGCGACTAGCGGGCCTACCACTCTGATAGTGGAGTTTACGTTTTGCTTGCATCCAAAGTCCTTCAATAGTTTCTGCGTGAATCTCCTGGATCAACAAATTCACGCTCGTGCACAATGACAGCGTGAGCATCAATCCCGTTGTTGAGCTGACCGACATTTTGATATCCTCGCCAAGCGTCCGTGACGGTAGTTGTTCCTGGTAACACATGATTAGTGATGATAATGCGCTCGAGTGTTTGTGCATCTGGACGGCCGACAACCTCCATCTAACATCGTCCACTAACGCAAACATGAGTTTCAAAACAGAATGATGCCCAAGACTTTTAAGTAAGGATTAAATCATTGGAAATAATTTGGGACCAGACTTCGGAGGATTGTCGACTTTAACTTTTAAATTTAAAGAGTTAAATCACCTGCCTTGCAAAATAGTGACAAGATTACTCCCAGTCCATCTTGAATTAGCGGTAATATGTCCCACAGGAACTTTAATCCCAATAGTCTGTGTATTATTCATTAATGTTTATGTTTCACACAAATCTAACCCCCTCACCAAATCAAAGTTGGCATATAATATATACAAGGCAATTAATTTTACCGGTACCTCTTTGAAACCCAACTCTAATTTTTCTATTTCGTTGCGGGAAGTAATTCGTTCTAAAAGGTTCGCATAAATTACCATGATCTCGGAAAAGACCGAGATAAATTCGATATGTGACAATATTAATTTAAAAAAAAAAAATCTAACATTAAATACAAATGTACACTGTTTAAATCACTGTTTTTAATTTAAATAATTTAAAATTAATCAAAGTAAAGTTAAAATTGAATTATATGTAATTATTATGGGGGTGTTAAATAAAAAAAAAAAGTGTGTGTGTGTGGGTGGGGGGGGGTAATCCATATTTTTTTACACTCGATTTTGGGCCCCAAAATCGTCAAAATTCATAGGAAAAATATTATTTTTATATTTTGTTTGTAATTATTATAGGGGTTTGAAATAAAAAAAAAAAGTGTGTGTGTGTGTGGGGGGGGGGTCATCCATATTTTTTTACACTCGATTTTGGGCCCCAAAATCGTCACAATTCATAGGAAAAATATTATTTTTATAGTTTGTTTATTGTATCTTCACGTTGATGCGCCAAATTTTCCTATTTTGCAACAAGTTAAAGCAACTTATGAATTTATCATTGCCATATTAATATTATTATGAGACTAACCTTAAAATGTCATAATTTACTCTTTGTGTAATAATTGCTGTCACCTCGACCTGTGTTTTGATAGACACTCGAGTTTATGGCCGCTTATTATTATTTATCAATTTTCTAAATAAGTTTTTTGACGACTATCAGATGGTAACTTCTCGGGGGGGGGGGGGGAATATTTGGAAAAAAATGTATAAAAGCAACCCATTTTATAAAAATCCCAATAAGTGCCCCCCCCCCCCCAGTACGCACCAAAAGCATTTATTTAGTTATTTTCTTTTCTTGAGTAAAAAAATTGCTAGCATAATTAATTGAAGTTTAACAGTTGCTGACAAGGTGGAGGTAGGAGGGGGTATCAAGGATTGAGTTTAAATTGTTCACGTAATTAATGGACCGTCCGTAAGAAGGAGATGGTGGTGTTTAAAGTATGGTACACGAATAATAGGGTCTAATTATATTTACTTTTTAAATATTATTAATGAACACTTTTATTTCCTCGGTTAAACTTTTATTCTTAATATTCTAAGAAATTAATTTTATGCATTTATAGGATGTTTGTGGACATAATTAATAATTAAGTATTGATAAACGGGTAAATGTTGAGAATGACGTCATGGGCATGATTCTCAACAATAGCCGATTAACCTTTTCTGTTTCTACTGTCTGCATCCCATACGATTTTATTTTTGACAAGTTTTAGTGTTGCATCCCCTACAAGTAACAGATCATTTGAAATTTAAATAAAATTGAATTCTAAATTATTTTTAATTGCATTACAATTACAAAGAGAACTGTAGGACTGAGAAAAATGGGGGAGTGGGGCGGCGTTTCAGTTGAAGCAATAAGGAATACACAAAGGGTAGGTGGAACCCCCCCCCCCCCAAACAAAGTTTTTCATATAAAAAAAATTCTCTGCATTTTTGTTTGCATTGATGTAATTGTATGAGATTTATTATTTATGTGATGTAGCAACTTAATTTTGGCATGGGAATGGTTTTTGCCAAACTTAGTGCATTTAAAACCTAAAAGACTAAAGTTATATTTAAAAGAATAATTTTTTGTTTTTTAAGTAAATCAGGAACATCGTTTTTATTTAGTCGTTTTTTAAGTCAATTAATAATGAGATGGGATGGAAATATAGGTCAACATCGGAAAATTGCAGAATTTCTTGTCTTGACTTTGAAAAACGGATTTTGGGGGTTGGAGGGGGGCTGAAAATATGTTAGAATGTGTTGTCCTCTGCAACTAGTCAATGTGAAACCATGTGTTCAACGGATGGTGGGGCGTGTGTGTGTTGCTTAGGTTGTCGACACATATGTAACAGTGTAGGCCCATGACCCACTAGAGTACAGTTCCAGTAGGTCGTGGAAGGACGCCCCTTTACAAAACAGCATTCACCGCCCAACACTGTCGTGAAATGGACCTCAGTGTTAGGCTAACAACACTGCATGAAAGTTGTCTCCCCCATTGCTTAGAATAGGGCTGCACAACTCAAAATGTAAGGTTAGGCCAAGCTACTTAATGAAAAACTTGTGCAGGCCGAAAGAAAATAGGCAGAGGGGAAAGCTATTAAGAAAATAATAATAAGGAATATTTCGTTACCTCACTGGCCACATCTGGGCCGCAGGCCGTATATTGTACAGGCCTATAAGTTTATAAGGATTAGAGTACCCAAATATAGGCAGTGGCGTGGCTAGGAATTTGGGGGGGATCGGGGGGGGGGGGGGGCTTGGCCTCTTTTTTTTGTAAATAACATAATTATTATTTTTTTTTTTTTAACAAATATTTTAAAAATTTTAAAAACAAAATCTAAAAAAAAAAAAAAAAAAAAAAAAAAAAAAAAAAAAA